CGCACCAACGTTTGTTTTGCAAGTCGAAAATGATGAGTTTTCATTTCGTGAGCCCCAGCATCGGCAACGTCCCGTCCCGTGCTCCTTTTCTTGCTGATTCCAACGAACTTTGATCGCCCAAAGAGTCGAGGGCCAAACCTGCCTCCTCAGTCGCCTCAGAAAAACCACCTCCATGGCCAAGTCAAATTTATGCGTGTCGCCATAGTCTTTTCAGCCACACAGATGAAGGTGAGGACACTCCAGGCGAAAGAGAGTAGACAGGCAGTGAAGAGGAGCAATCAGAGGTAGCTGACGATGCTATGTCGCCAAAGACGCCTGCCAAGCGATGCCGAGATAAGAAACCTCTTTGAATGAATCACGCGCTAGCGCTCTTCTACGAGAAAATGCATCCGAAAAATATTTTCGGCAAAGTGAGCTTTTTCCGAACAAACACGCCGAATCTTCGTGTGCATTTTCGACCTCGCTCCCGCGTGCCGAATCTTTTTGCCGAATTTCGGAATGCAAAACCTCGCTATTATCATCCTCGGTGACTTTAATGCCCGGCACAACGAATGGTATAGGCAGGAGGATCCGAACACTGCTGCTGGAAGATGCCTTGTCGAACTGCTGGATGATACTGGTTTTACACAACTTGTACGCGACCGCCCAACACGTTTCTCCGCCGCAGGTCAGAGCTCTTCTCTCCTGGACCTTGTTCTCTGTAACCAACCATTCCTCATCCACAACCTCACCACACTTCCCCCTGTCTCTGATCACTGTCCTGTGGTATTTGATCTCGCAATACAGACTCGTTCCCAGCAACCAGTGCACTCTGATTTGCTCGTGAACAACTATGCAGCCACAGACTGGCCCGCACTTAATAACCACCTTTGGAGCCTCCCTCTTCTCGCTGCTGTACAAGAAGCCGGTAGTACAGATGAAGCATGGGTCTCCTGGCGAACACTAGTTGACACAGCCATATCATCTTTTGTTCCGAAGGTTAGAAAGCGAACAAATCGTTATGGAAAGCCTTGGTTCACCTCTGTGCACCATCGCCTCCGTCAACGTCGAGATCGACTATTTGCTGCAGCAAAACGCGTCAATACCCCTGAGTGCTGGGCTGCTTATCGCATTTCAAGGAACTGCCTCGTCGCTGCCATCCGTAAAGCTAAACGTCACTTCTACGACCAGATGTCAGAAGGCCTTCACGCAGATCGAGGATCTTATGACTGGTGGAAGAGAGTCAAGAAAATGTGCCACATCAATTGTCCTCACACCCCTATACCTGATATCTAAGGAGTCGATACCTTAGCGGTTACCGACCCTGAGAAAGCGAACATCTTCTGTAAACAGTTCGCCAAGAATAGTCAAGCTACGCCGTCGTCGGATGCAGATTATCGTGATTTCGCCATGCCTTCTTCTTCGGAAACATTTGCCATCCGCCCTCTGTCTATCGTAGAAGTATTCAAGGCACTGTCGACCTTTTAAGTGTGCGAAAGTCTACAGCTGGCAGTCTTCCAAACAGGATCCTACGAGAGACAGCCGAAGTGCTCGCCCAATCCCTCACTGCTCTCTTTAACCGCTGCACCACTTACCGATCCCAACCCCTTGAGTGGAAAGTTGCAATCGTTACCCCAATTTACAAAGGTAAGGGAAGTCGCAATGACCCTGCTAACTACCGGCCGATATCTCTGCTGAATGGTGTGGCAAAATGCTACGAAGCGTTAATCAGCCGCCAGGTGTACGCGTTTGTAGCGAAACACAAACTACTGTCGCCGAAACAGTTCGGGTTTCGCCACCACCGAAGCACGGTTGACCAACTTGTGTATGTCACATCAACTGTCAGCTCTGCATTTGATAACCGGGCCCAGTGTGATGCCGTCTTTCTCGATTTCTCGAAGGCATTTGATCGTACCAGCCATCGCCTCCTAGCCTCATGTCTGTCCGGTTGGTGTGCACCTGACTCATTCGCGTGGCTGATGGACTTCCTGGAAGACCGATCGATGTCTGTGCGGGTCGGCACTGAATTATCAACCCATATGTCGCTCACCGCTGGTGTGCCACAAGGCTCCCACCTAGGCCCTCTATTGTTCAACCTTTCTATCAACTCCCTTCCCAGCATTCCCCAATCCAGCGATCTGACCCTGTTTGCGGATGATTCCAACATGGTCTGCGTTTCTCCGCCTACTGTCGTACCCGCCGCGCACACTGCCTCCCTGCAACTAGACCTTGATAGATGTGTGAACTGGTCCCATAAAGCTGAAGCAGTTTTCAATGCTAACAAATGTGTCCATGTTCCCTTTTGCAAACCTACTTCTTGAAGTAAATCAAACCCACCTGATCCCAGGACCGTCACCATGGCCGGTACGTCACTGACCCAGCCCTCTTCCCACCGCCATCTGGGCATCATCCTCACTCCTTCACTCAATCTGTCCCCCCATATTCAACACATTACAAGCAAATTTCGAGGTCGGGTTTTTCTTTTAAACCACATGTCCAACTTCCTTCCTTTTCCTGCTGTGAATCTTTTGTATAAAATTAATGTTATGTTCGTCCCCTCCTTGAATATGCTGTTCCCGTTTGGATGTTTTCCGTTGCAGCCACCATGTCCACAACCCTTGATAAACTGCAGGCTACTGCTGCTAGAGCATACTTAAAAAAAATAGTAAACTCAAGCGTCGGCCTGACTGGACGACTTCCAAAGAAGACCTCAATGTTCTGTCCTCTTGGGAATCTTTAGCATGGCGACGGCAGATTCTTGGCCTTGTCTATTTCCACCATGTGTTCTCCCAATATCCCTCCTTGTTGTCTCACTTCCAGCTACCCTCTTCCCAAAGCAGTCGTCACCCTTCATCCATAATTCTTCCTAAAGCTGGCACCTACTTTCGTAAATCAACCCTTTTTTCTTTGAGTGTTGCCTGGAATAAACTTCCTGAAGATATTCGTTCACTCTCTACAAGAGCGAAATTTAGTGTTGCTGTTCGTCGGTATCATTCGCAATCTATGTTTTCTTTGAAAGGTATTCCTGACTTTTGTGTCTAGGCTAACCACATCTATGATAGTTTCAATAGTTTGTGTATATGTCAGTTATAGTAGTCCACAATGCTGCTTTTCTAATTCTCACTATGATTAGCATGCAATGTACTACCCGAAGTAGTGAATTTACTTCTTTTGTACTAATGTATCTTCTACCTCTTCTCCCTTACGAACATACTTTCTCATTTTCCATACTTACTTTACTCCCTTCGATAGGCATCTATTTGCCTCTGGAGGATCCGTGAAATAAAAATCAATCAATCAATCAAAATAGTTGTACTTCTGTACTGTTAACATGCATGTTGAGCTATCCGAATTCAAATAAACACTAAAAAAACTTAAAAAAACTGGCTCTCATTTGCCACCACCCGGGTACCCATGTTTCGAAGGCGATACAGCTATCCGGAGCAGAGAAACAGCCGGCCAGAAGAAAAGCAATTAATTATTTTTACACGTTTTGTTAAAAAATGCCGAATCATCGGCGAATGTTAAAAAAAGCCAAATCACCTCGTAGACTACGGACTCGTACTGTCGTGGACATGGAAATCCTATGGGACTGCCCTATTCAAAATTTAAAAATAATCCAGTCTTGCTTGAAAGTGATGACGTCAAAACGGCCAGGGAGTAGTAAGTTGACATCAGATTTCTATTTTTGGATCCACTACACTTGTAAGCGTCTAAGGTGTGACTTTGCCTAAGTATGTGGGTGCATAGCAACCCACTCATGTCGCATGCAGGTGTGACTTTTATTTCGCCACCAGTTGTAACCCCGCCCCCAGTAGCCAAATCAGTCAGTTTCACTGGCTACATCACCATGCTGTGGGTAAGACCACTTGAAATGTGCTTCAATCCATACAAAAACTGGATCCAAGTGCATCCAGTTTTTGAATTTTTGAAATTGTTGCTATGCTGTGACGTAGCACTTTCAAGCCCGGACCGGGCCGAGACCGGCGCCCGGCCCTCAGCGCGTACAGAACAGCGCTTGATCCGATGCGACCAGCGCGCGCGCTGCAGTACTGCTTACCCACGGCTGCATGGCCACATAGTCATTGGCCAGCACCCTGGGGCCGCTAGACGTGCGACTGGATTTCCATTTCCCGTATGTCACATGACTGTCGCCTTGGAGTCGACCAATGACAGATCAAATTACGCGGGCTGGAAAGCGCGATCCTGCCTGATGAATGGTGATGGAACTAGTTCCACTGCCCGTCGTCAAGTGACGACGGGCAGTGGACGGAATCCACTGCCCGTCGTCACTTGACGACGGGCAGTGGACAGAATCTACTGCCCGTCGTCACTTGACGACGGGCAGTGGACAGAATCCACTCATGAGTCTACCATTTCAATGACAAGCTTCTGTGGTCTGAAAGTACATGCAAAAGCCGTGTACTGAGTCTATAGTCCGTGTCCGGTTGTCGAAGTCACTCTCACTCAGCTCACACTGACACAGCCTCATACAGCCATACAGGACTCGTGTCAAGTCACAGAATGGTTCATGTAAACTCAAACGTCAAAGATTGTGAGTGATCTCCTTGGCTTGGGTGCATACGGGAAACACGTTCCAGTCACTCATACTCGGTCAGCACCGCTGCTCATCCAGCCCTTGCCGCTATCGCGGCGCGGGCAGGATTCCGCGGTACTGCCCTCATACTCGTGCAGGAACCTGTACGTCCACGACAGTAGAACCTAGCTAACTCCTTCAAACACCCCCTACTTCGAGCAAAAATGCCACGAAATGCTGACTGCTAATGGCCCAATGGGTCTAGCTGGCATTTTGGAGCACGTGCGCCACCCCCATATCTACTTAACTGATCTAGATCTTTCTACTTCTAGCTACGTGAACCATGTGAACCTGAAAAGACTCTGCATCTGGACCGCCTCAACGCAAACTTACTTCAACATGCCAGCTTCCTTCCACAAACATTATTTCGAGTGAACAACGGTTGAACCCACGCTGCGCTGATGTCTAGTGATGATCGGTTTGGGTTCACAACATTGTATACAATTTTGCTGTCAAACCGTTCCAATTCCGGCATCGAACCGTCGCCTCTCTACGTTTTACCGCTGCATGAGCGTCGAGCGCGAGGCGAACGGAATTTTTATAGAGACGCATTTTGAGCACTTGACTATTGTCAGTTTCAAGATACTACTTACTAGTACAGTATCAAGACAGACTGATTAATTTATGAATTATACTGCCGCTAGTGGATCGCTTGCCTGGCATGCCATTGGGACTAGCGTAGCTAGACTAGAGTTCGTCCCGTCATCGCATTTTAATTATTAGTTTGTTGGTGTTTGTTTGGGCGTTAGACTGGAGTTCCGTGTCACTCTGCTTGTGAAGTTGTGTGATCCAGTGCCAGTGGATGATGCTCTTAGGTTTGCTGACCAGTTTGCCTGTTTGCAATGATGAGTGGTGGAGGGATCGAGGAGGACGCTTCTCATGGGGCTCATTTGGATGATCTGGATGAACACCCGCAGTGTTGCGTTTGCATGGCAGCGTACTCTTGCGAAGACGAGCACAGCGTCCCTCGGGGGCTGACATGTGGACACACATTTTGCACGGGTGAGTGAAATAAGTTTACGAAGGGGCCGATGGCGATCATGCTCTTGCAGTCTTGGCGTGAAGTGCTAAAATCGACGTTCTCTTTCAAACGGCCCATAATGCCATCTTGATTCTTGACAGCTACCGAATACGTAACCATGGTAACGTCGCTGAATTCGGAACCTGTGCATTTCAAAAGTACATGGGCTCTACGTCGTACAGTCCATTCAGAAAATGATGGACTTCTAGCTTTTGGCCATGAATGGGTCAAACGTTGAGTTTTTTCAGAATTTTTGTCTGCTATCCCCAATGGAATCCTCTTCCAATTATGTTTCTGAAGTCTATTTCTCCACAAAGCAAGCCATAGCAAGGATAGGATTTCGGCCAGGTTTTGCCCCAAGAGCACTGAATTGGGAAAATCCAGGCCGTTTGACCCTGCCTGCAACAGTGCATTGTACGGTTCGGACCCCAGTTCAGGTACCCTTTTTGGACCCTTTTTCAAATTTCAAATTTCACAGCACTGCACTGTGTACGATAAAATCTTGAAAAATCGCCTAATACGGGAGCTCGCCAGAGCCAGGGCCCATCTTTTTGTGAATGGACTGTAGACTTTTTCGAAAGCAAATATATAACTCGGATACTGAGCCAGTAATAAAATGTAAAAAAGAGAAGAAACACATGAGAACGAGTTATGCAGCAACTATCCACGAATGTAACAAGATGATAAACGGTCAGAAAGTGCGATAATAGGGCACAAAACTGACAGGCTACTGAGACATTCAGCGACCCAGTTTTGGCGGATGTTCATGCATGTCGATGACGATACTGGCAAGACCATTGGACAATACGGTCAAAGCACGATTCAAGAACGCAAAGCAACATTCCACACAACTTGTGTGGCTCAAAAGATGCGAAGATCAATAAAAGGGGAAGCTATGCGAACAAGAATCATGAAAACCGAACGCCTCAGTAAAACAGCAATGTTATCGCATGAGCTGATTGTTTAGTAACTGGTGGTGTTAGTGGACAGTATAGCGTAACTTGTAGTTCCTTGGTCTTTCTCTTTTGTATAAATTAAACCTTGGCTCTCCATCTGAGGCCATATATATTTTTATTTTTTAAATTTATTATTAACTTAAAGGGGGAGCATACCCTAAAATCAAATTTTCCCCAGTTATAGTCTTCGGGGTGCTGAGTCGAATGGTCTTGGTCCGAGGAAGCTGAGACGCTCCCTCCTTTGTTCCCAATCAAACTCGCGCACTTCCACTGGAACTGGGTGACTGCGCCCTACTAGATGGGGTTTTGTTTGCAAAAGTCACTAAAAGAGTCGTCTCATTATTATAAAAGCACGGATGACCGCGATTGGTCCACATGTTGTAGTCTTTTGGACGCTGGGTCGACTGGGTTTGGTCCGAAAAGGCTGCGATGCAGCGTTCAGCCCTTATTCCCAATCGAACACGGTTGAGTAAGCGCCTACTAAGCGGCCACGTGCTCGTGCGTACGCCAGTCGCCTGGTCACCGTACCTGCAGGCTACAATTTTCACACCAAAGTTCAACTAAAAGGTCCAAAGGTTCAACTCGAGTGACAGGAACTCGCTCAATGGCCCGTCCACTGATGTCATCCCAGCTGCGTTCCGTATTCGGTACATGATTTGATCCAGTGCTCCGCGGCTGTAGGCATTCAGTTCGGACGGCGGTGGCGTGTATGAATGGTTCCTTAGTATACCCTATGCATGTATTATTACTTATACCTGCCTCCCCCCCCCCCCCAGATCAGGTGGCCGTGGGTCCCATATCCGACACATAGCTCGTACAGGCTGCTGAAACCCGATGGGGGTGGCATAGTGTCGTGTAGCAGCCTAGTAACAGGACAGTAGGTGGTGGGCTATGCTGAACAGGATGCAGTCCCAATGGGCGACATTGCACGGTCATTGTGGCCCTGCTAATAGTATTTACAGACAAGGCCTGCGCACGGTCAAGCTGTTTATTTGCTTGTTTCCATTTCTAAAACGTTGCACTTTAACAAACGGGCAATGGGGGGGGGGGGGTCCTCAGTGTTTCAGCAATGTTATACACTACATAACAGACTGCGGAACTCCCCGTGCCTATACCATTGATCCGAGCACTGCTGATCCAGGGACTTTTGTGGACCTGGGTCTGCACTGCTGATCCACGCACTCCTGTAGACCGGGGTCTGCACTGTTGATCCGGACACTCCTGTAGACCGGGGTATGCACTGCTGATCCGGACACTCCTGTAGACCGGGGTATGCACTGCTGATCCGGACACTCCTGTAGACCGGGGTATGCACTGCTGATCCAGGGACTTTTGTGGACCTGGGTCTGCACTGCTGATCCAGGCACTCTTGTAGACCGGGGTCTGCACTGTTGATCCGGACACTCCTGTAGACCTGGGTCTGCACTGTTGATCCGGGCACTCTTGTAGACCGGAGTGTGCACTGCTGATCCAGGCACTCCTGTAGACCGGGGTCTGCACCGCCTGCATGGTTTACAGAGAACAACTAGAAGTGTAGGTTTTGAAGGCGAAAAAGGAATAGAAAATGATTGTTTTGATTGACAGTACAGTGTTGACCTGCATGCAAAGTTTCAAACAGCATGCATGGTGCAAGCTACAAGCTATTCCCGGCCACTGTAGCAAGCTGGTCCTGGCTCAACACGGTACACCGCGAAATCTCGAAAGATGTTGCCTGTGAAAAGCCTGAGGCGTGTCCTCTTTGAAAGTGTGAAAGTACTTTTGTCTCTGAGGAATGATAACGTTAGAAGCAGAAGAAGGACTACAGCGAAGCGTCAGCATAGAATACACAGGGTTCTAGCCAGGTCAAAATAGCACTGAAGTAGGGGGGGGGGGGGGGCATGGGAAACAGTTACCCTATATCCCATTTTTCCACTTTCCAATATTGTCTTGCCACGCCAAATGCAACATATATGGGGCGAATCCCTGACTTCACCCCAGACAAATGTGCCTTTATGAACCATCTATGCATGAAAAACACGAAAATCGGAAAATGAGCAGGAGCGCGCAAACAGAGTGGGGGGGGGGGGTTTCCTGTCCATAAACGATTGCGCTTAGTGTGCGATTCCGTAGATAGTCCCGTAGCCACTGCAGCATGCCACCACCAATACCGAAAGTGGCCGCTTTGTGTAGGACTCCAGGGTGCAACACGCGGTCAAACGCACCGGCGATGTCGACAGCCAGGACGTGGGCACAGCCACCAGAACCAGCTGCCAGCGACCAATCATGCCCAAGTACTGCTAGTAGGGCCGCTGTCCCAAGGCCACTGTTAAATCCGTACTGCTTGGTTGACAGGAGATGATGTTTTTCAAGGTGATTCACAATTTGACAGTTCACAATACGCTCCATCACTTTGGAGATGATGGGGAGGCGGGAGACTGGGCGGTAGTTCTTAGGGTTGGATAGGCTGCCCTTCTTGTAGACTGACACAACTCGAGCACTCTTCCAGGCCTCTGGCTGAACACCCTTACGAAAGCACGGGGCGAAGAGGGACGTGAGAGGCGATGCAAGTTCATGGGAGCACTCTTTGAGTACTCGGGCAGGGATGTCGTCCGGACCGGAGGCCTTGATAACGTCGAGCTGGTTCAGGAGGCGTTTCACTGTTTGCAGACGGAAGTGGATTCGGCTAAGTGTGCGAGAGTGAGTGTGCATGCCGGCTGCCATTCTCACTGATCTGCCGGCCTGCTATTCACAGCAGGGTGCACTGCTTCACCGGTCATGGTGTGACGCCAAGAGTCCAGGACGGAGCTTTATTCAAGTTCATTGTGTGTGTGTGTGTGTGTGTCATTGTGGCCGGTGTGCGGATTCTGCGCAGGTTGCCTCATCAGACTATGCAATCAAGAGCGTGGTGGGCTGTATTGCGTAAGATGCCCGATATGCAAACACTGTACCTACCTACACGAGCAACGGCATGCAAGTAGCGATGGCCACTGCGAGGCTAGCATGGTGCTCCAGTGCGTGCAGAAAAACTATGCTCTTATCGATGTTCTCGATGCGTTTTCACGGCAGCGGGAGCAGCTGATGACCAATGCGCTCGTGAGTGGAAGCAGGTCACGGGACGACAGCAGGAGCAGTGTGCTCCACTGTGCAATACACGATGTGGCGAAGAGAGTCTATTGCGTCGACTGCGTCCATGCTATCTGCATCTACTGTCAGGTGCACGGTGATCATTTAGGTCATCATTGTGAGCTGGTGGACGGTGCCATGGATTATCTTTGGGGAAAGATTTCCGTCACGGAAGCACACGTGAGTCCTGTGGGCATGTTCGGAATGTTTAAAAAAATCAGTGGTTTGGAAGCTTGTGTATGCAATCTGCATATTTGTTTGTTGTGGTCATTCCTTTTGTTGCGCAAACCTCGCATGAGTTCACGCGCGGTGTGAACCTGTTTGTTTCACCAGCAGCTGCTGCTGGACCAGTGCACAGGAGTGGAAGAAACCTGTGCGCTTCAGGTCAGACTTCACTCTGTCCATCAGTGCACAGCACACAGCAAGTGCTATGCAGCAGGAAATGTTCCAGCACACGCAACATTCCGTACGAGCCCAGGCCGCCGGTTAAACACAGAAGACATCTGTACCAGGGGCGTGGCACACAGTACGGTCACTACGGTATTGACCGTACCACTATTTCACCCAAGTACCCCGTGAATCAATAAAATGCACTGATTTGGGTTCTAATTTTCCAAAATTTTCGGCTCAGCCACCCCCCCCCCCCCCACGAGTAAATTGTACTTCAGATGGCTGACCGTACCACACTAAATTGCCTTCCGACGCCCCTGTGTACGATGTTGAATTCTGAACTACAGGCGGGTCACTGAGATGTGCTGCGGGCCTATTGCACTGTGTGTGCTACAGTAGGATAGTGCGGACGTTTCTTGCGGTTCTACTTTAGGACACTGGAAATATTGTATGGAACTTAAGGAAATCAACTCTGTACCAACATTACCTGTTGCACAGTAGGTCCTCCTAGCGATACTAACACAATGTACATGTAATCGTTGTTTTGTGAACAGTTCACCGTGAATGAATACCACTGCATCCAATCTCTTCTGTGTAGTCCATCACGCTCTCTGCACGCTTCAATGTGCGTGCCTTTTTCGCTTTGTTGGTTCCGCAGGTGGAACAGCTATACCGGGATTCCTTGGAGAGTATATCCTTTGTCAAGGAGGTACTGATGCGGGACGCCAGAAAGTTCCGCTACCCCATCACCGCCAAAGCCTTGCAACTCCTGTCGGTGTTGCCCGAATGGTGCCACCCGCTTATGGTTAAATGTATGAACGTAATTATGACCCTGGCCGACGCCTTGGAGTCGCTTGCTGCCACTTTTAACAGGTAGAGTCTGCTCGCAACACCGTATTTTCCCACGTACAGGCTGCAGTGCATTTAACAAACACCTGTAACTCACCCAAAACATCGGTGCAGCTTATACTAGAATAACAATGAGTAACAATGAGTAACAATGAGTAACAATGAGTAACAATGAGCCACTTGCTTTTGCAATCCAGACGGTGTGCGCACACATGTGTATACCGTACGCCTAGAAAGTCACACATTTTCTCCCCAACTTTTTTGAGAGGTGGACTGAACTTTTGATGCACATGTTTTAGATTTTTACACTCGCAGACAATTCTAGTTACTGCGAAGCAGCCCATCGCTCAGCCATAATTCTGTGCATACTGGCATTGCCACACTGATACTTGTATACCTTATGTGTTACCCTGATTGTCCAGGTAAACTTTGAAGTGATTTCATTGTTTGCTTGTTGAGTAGCCTGTCCGACCAATCCTGCACACCTACCAATAGTCAATACAGCTGAAGCAACCGCCAGCTTTATCTTTGTATTGTTTGGTGTGTGTGTGTGCGTGTGTGCGTGCGTGTGTGTGTGTGTGTGTGTGTGTGTGTGTTTGAACTTCTCACACGGGTTCACACGGTTCAGCGAGGGTCTCCAGGGCACTCCAGCCATTGTGATGAGGGAGCTCCAGTCTGCTAGTCAACGTTGCAAGGTCTTCAGAGATGAACTACACTGCAGCCGTGGTGTACAGGTACATGCTTCAACTCTGCTCAGAGATGAACTGCCTGACTTCGTGGATGGGCCAGAATATACGATAATGCTATGCGCACTGGTTGATCGCGATCTGAACGAAATCCGTACAATACAGCCCTTCTCCAACCAAGCACTACTGGAACTGGACATGGGTGTGCGCCAAATGGGCCTGACCCACCTGATAGAATGCCTCGATCGCGCTCTCCCGTTTGGCGGTAATGGACTTTCTATGTACATTCGTGCATGGGCATGTGTGTGTGTGTGTGTGTGTGTGTGTGTCGCGATGTGTGTGTGTGTGTCGCGATGTGTGTGTGTGTGTGTGTGTGTGTGTGTGTGTGTGTGTGTGTGTGCATGCGTGCGTGTGTGTGTGTGAGGTGTGTGTGTGTGTGTGTGTGTGTGTATGGGTGGGTGGGTGGGTGTGTGTGTTGCTATAGCTTCTGCTGTAGCATCGCTATCATCACCTCCGGCGATGGGCGTCAAAAGGTCAAGGTGTATGTGTGTGTGGGGGGGGGGGGGCTGCGTTGGGATCTTGGATGATCTTCGTTCATTGTTTTGGATGCCGAACAACACGCACATGCCAGTGGTCAAATCGAAAAGGTCCGTTCTTCTTGTGGTTGTCAACAGAACTGCTCTTTGAAATGTAGAAGCCCGGAATCTTCAACCCCAGCTTTGCATAGCTGCAACACATAGAACACATAGTTATTGATCATGATTTTATAAGTAACTTGACAAGCTGAAAACGATGAGGGTTTTTTGCCCTAAACAGTATTTTCCTGGCGGGCCATTGATGTGTGGGCTCCGGCCCACAGTTACCAGGCACCCGGATATTGACTCGAGAGGTTCTATGTTGTGTATGGCTGCGAAGTAGAATGTCTGGACTTACAGTCCATTCATAAAAAGATGGGTCCTGGCTCTGGCGAGCTCCCGTATTTGGCGATTTTTCGTGATTTCATCGTACACAGTGCAGTGCTGCGAACTTTGAAATTTGAAAAAGGGTCCAAAAAGGGTGCCTGAACTGGGGTTCGAACCGCAGAATGCACTGTTGCAGGCGGGGTCAAACGGCCTGGATTTTGATGGTTTTTCCCAATTCAGTGCTTTTGGGGCAAAACCTGGCCGAAATCCTATTCTTGCTATGGCTTGCTTTTTGGACAAAAAAACTTCAGAAACATAATTGGAAGAGGATTCCATATGGGATTGCAGAAAAAAATTCTAAAAAAACTCAACGTTTGACCCATTTATGGCCAAAAGCTAGAAGTTCATTTTTTTCTGAATGGACTGTAGCTACCAGTTCGGTAAAGCTGCTTCAGCCCTGATTGCTAAACATCAATGTAGTGCAGCTGAGCCGATACTACTTCAACTGAGTAGTACATGTACATGCATGTGTTCTGCTGATTTGGTCTTGTTGCATGCCGGCCGGCTGGCTTTCTTCTCTACTCTGTCAGATGCTGCATGTTTCGAGAGCTTAAAAGGTAAGATTATCTCTTTTCCTTCTTTCACATATTGTGTGTGTGTGAGGGGGGGGGGGGGGCTCTCCCTTCCTCTTTCTCTTTTTCTCCTGAGTTCCCGGTCTTCCTTTTGTCCACAATTGCTCTACGCTAAGAGCTGGCCTCTTCCTCACATCCCATGCTCGAAGAGCTTTCAGACTTCACTGAACTCACATTGGAAGCTGCACCATGTTTTCGCTCAAACCCAGGCATTGGCCCACAGTGGCAGTCACTTTCTTTTCTCCCAGTTTTACTTTCTCCGTCACTGCCTAAAATACAGTCGAGATGGTTCAGTTTTTACCCACCAGTGTATTTTGGTGCGAATTACATTCCTACTCTGAGTCGCTGTCTCCATGATTGCCACCGTCAGTATAAACTAGACTGTGTAGCAGCCATTCCTGTTGTAATGCCGGACTGGCATTGGTGAAGTGCACATACACTGCGGTGTACAGAGGACTGTCAGCTGTGGTGATGAATCCGTACATACACTGCGGTGTACAGAGGACTGTCAGCTGTGGTGATGAATCCGGAGCGGCAGGAGCATACTATAACTACAGTCAGACCTCGCTTAGCCGCACGAATCCGTTTTCCACAAAAAAATATCCGGATAGGCAAGGGAACCGGATGATCGAACACACTTACTGTATGTATGCATGACATATGCTGTAAAAAAACAAAACAATAGGAGGACAGAGAAAGTGTTTTTACTCCGAGTTTCACGCACTAAGCGATCATCAGAAAACGGTAATGAGAAATCTGGATCAGTATTGGTTTATATACTCACAAAGCAAAGTGTAAATACAGCATGGCGCAAATCTAAAAGTTGTGAATGGCGGCAGTGCAAAGTTTGACATAATTATGCTGCACAATGTAGATCGGTAACCAACGATTTTCTTCCGGATGGCGAGGGATCCGGATAAAAGAGGACCGGATAAGCGATGTCTGACTGTATTACGTTGGACTCGGTAGGCAGTTTGATCACAATACGATAAGGAGCTCAACTTATTAGTTTTTAAATGCAGATTGGTGGCCTGAGGGCTTGCAGTCATCACCCACATGGATGTGTTAGCCTGTAGGATTGAACACGAAAAGTGTTCACATGATATTTTTCTGGCAATGTTGATTTAGTTTGGAGTTGTACGTAAACGTCACGTTGCTTCCTGTACGTGCGTTCCTAATTCCTGGTCTTGATGCTGTGAATACCTGCACAGAGGAAGTGCGGGGAATCATCCTTCGTCCCTTGGAGAGCCAACCTCGTCCAGTCAGCAAGCGAGTCGCTTCAGAGAGCGGCCTGACTGTAGCGGCTGAGGCAGCCTGTGCGGAGATGTCCGCTCCTGGGCCCTGTGCCAAGCGACTGTGCACTGCTACGCACATACAGTCATCATGTCTTGTGCAGGCAGCAGGCCCAGACAATTACCTACCACCAGCAGCAGCAGCCACGCAGAGAGCTACCCCAAGCTGTGAGCTGACATCAGGAACTGCACCAGAGGGACTTGGCTGGCCGGGGCATGAACGGACGCCGGCTCTTGCCGCCGCGGAGGGACACAGTCTACGAAACACACTGTTGTTGACACCCGGCACCGGCGACCAGCCCTACGCAAGTGATGCACTGGTCGCACTGTCGTCACCTGGAAAACGACATCACCATAGCAACGAGCTGGAATCAGCACCCCTAGCAAAGCGAGTCTTTCCCCGAGTGTTCACGCCAGCCAGCTATTATCAAAGAACGACGACTTCATAACAATTGCAGGTATGCGTAATAAAAGAATTATAATCAAAATAGTACTCATTGATGCAGACAGCCAGACTATTTCGGCCAATGAGGCCTCATCAGTGCAACTCCGAGCTTAAAATAGGATTGAAATGTCAGCCATGGCTACGAGAATATATAAAAAATAGTATACATGGCAACTTTTGACCGTGCATGTCTCTTTACACGTTAGTGCGAGTGGCTTTTCAGTTACTTCTGGCTCCACGCCGGGGATAATCTTGCTTGTTCCCCGTGTGCCGTTCGGAGAGACTGGAGCAACTACCGGTCACGTTACTTCGTTGCAGGGAGTCATAGGCAAACCGTATGGGTACGATTCCCTGCTTCATTGAGTCGTGTTGCATTCTGATCATCATCCACCATGAGTGTAGTCCGTTCTGGAACTAAACCTTTGCTACTTTGTTGGTTGACATGAGGGCGAGTTTAATTTTGTTCATAGCTATTTTTAAATGGCAATACATGAGAGAGCTTGGAAGCTCAGGGCCCTACGCTACGCTTTTTTTTGCCCAGCTCATCATTCATGTTATTAGAACTGTTGGATTTTTTTTTTTTATTGACTGGCTACATCATTGTATTGCAGAAACGTTTCAGTCAGTTTGAATATGAGTTAGGCAAAAGTAAAAAAATCATTTCTCCTATTTTTTTAAGACAACCTGGGATTCGAACCCGCACTATCGCCCTGCATGCATTCCCCCGATACACTTCGCATACATACTCATTCTTCCAAGTTGCCAAGAATTTTCTGAGAAATCAAGCAAAACGTTCGAGTGCTTGCAGCTCCGTTATACTAGCTCGTATCGACCCCGGAGTGTTTCGAGCCGACAGCTGAGAATCTCGGCTACCTCGTTGGTAGTTTGATTGTTGAATTCGGTTGAGATTTGACGGAGTGATGACTCTTTGAGTGCACTTGCACACATGGCATTGGCCCCTCTCGTATACATTTGGGACAAAAAAAGTATCAGAATTTGGGGAAAAAATGGCCCGGTCGGCCGACCCGAGGTCATTATTTGTTTTGGCCTTATAGCCCTCTTCTACCATGCAGGATCGCTCCAAACATTGACCTTGCATGGAGCGGCTTTGGAGCCATAACTTACTGCATGTAACTCGGACGTGTTACTTCGGTTCTGCCTGTACAATCGACTCCACTCTTAAAGAACTGGCACGCAGCGAATTTCGTGATGTAGAGAACCACTGTCCATGTCCCTCTTTGAACCCATACAAAAATTGACCCTTTTTACACGTAGCACACTGTTTTCATTTGACTTTATAACAAACCGTATCTTGTAGGGAGACATGCAAATCAAGTGCACTCATGCAGTTGCGGAACGACTCATTGTTTTGTATAGTGCGAGTACATTTCTGTTATAAAGAAATTTATCTGTAAAGAACTCATACTCGGCTGCGTATTGGTGTTGGTTATATGCAGAGTTGACTGTAATGATTACAGTCTGTTCCACCGCCTACTAGCGACTGTGAAGCTCTTCAGGAGGCAGTACAACCTATCTCAGCATGCGCGCGCGGCCGCCGGCAAGATGTTTACCGAGTGAGCTTATGCCGAACTGTGGACGAGATTGTGCGTGCGTCCATGTTGTGCTGATGTCGCCACGATGTCACTGGGCTTGCGTACAACTACTTAGATGATTGTGTTAGCCAGCAGCTGTTCAGCCCCGTAGCTTGATCCTTGCATGGAGTCCGGACAAGAGCATCTCCCTCTCGTTTCACCCGCCGGCTCTCTTGTGAAGACCCTCATCCAGCATCGATGAACGTACTTCAAGTAGACTGTATGGCACTATGCTGTTTTGTCGTGCCAAAGTAGCTTCCTTGTATTATCAGTGTCCACCTAGCAAGTCTGGTGGTGATTGCTGTACTGTCTGTACATGGCACACTGGAGTAGAGATGCTACCCCGCCACTGGTTGTCTCCATCGTTTCTTTTTCTTCGTAGCTTACCGGTTTTATACAGATTGCTTCCGCGGAGTATTGTGCAGTCTCTTTTGTTTTACTACACTAGTATGGGTTCCCCCATGAGTTCCCCCCCCCCCCCCCCGTCTGAATTGACACTTCTTCCAATAACCAGGATTGAACAGGTTTCCACACAGGTTTGTTTGTTTGTTCAGCTTTATTTTACTTCACCATAAGCACAGGCAAAATCTGCCTTCTCGCTGGGCGTATTACCACAGTTCTCGCAAGATCACGAAGGTTTGCTCCGGATCACTCAGTTCAAAACACACACACACACACACACACACACACGCCGGCACACACACACACACACACACACACACACACACACAGGCTCCCACGTTGGTCCAGTGTCTCAACGGCCATGGGAGCCTGTCTATTATAAAATTGTGAAAAATAATTAAACAATATGAACTTAGACTTGGCTCTCAACGTCTGTTTATCACAACTCCATGAGCGACTCTGACTCACGCTGCTACCTGGAGCTTCACGAAGTGTTTGTCGCGCTGGCAACAAAGCGTCTCTGTAAGTTTGTATCCCTGGTGATGGTTTGGCCTGGAGAGCAAGCAGGATATAAGTGGTGCTTTTCAGGCACAATCTTCCTCAGCCTACTCAAGCTCAACTGATGAGGGGTGAATTTCCCGAAACACTGTGTATTGAGCAGGGAGTGATGCTTTCTTGCAGGTTTGCCACCCGTGTGCTCCGGATGACAGTCATGAGTCAGTCAAGTGTCAAGTTCGGCAAGAAGCATGTGTTCCTAGTTAAAGGGGAAGTTAAGGCAAAAATTAAAATTTCACCAGTTGTAGTCTTCGGGGTGCTGAGTCGAATGGTCGTGGTCCGAGGAAGCTGAGACGCTCCCTTCCTACTTGAATCCCAATCGAACTCGCGCACTTCCACCGAAACTGGGTGACTGCGCCCTACTAGATGGGGATTTGTATGCAAAATGTCACTAAAAGCGCCATTTCGTTCTTATAAAAGCATGGATGACCGCGATTGGCCCATATGTTGTAGTCTTTTGGACGCTGAGTCGATTGGTTTTGGTCCGAAAAGGCTGCGATGCAGCGTTCCTCCTTTATTCCCAATCGAACATGGTTGAACAAGCGGTCACGTGCTCCTGCGTACGCCAGTCACCTGGTCACCGTGCCTGCAGGGTACAACTTACTAGCCTGTTTGACCTTTTTTGGGGGCAATCCTTTCACTCGAGTTGAACTCAAGTTGAACCTTGGTGTGAAAGTTGTCGCCTGCTGGCGTGGTGACCAGGTGATTTGGGCACCCAGGAGCACGTGACCGCTTGTTCAACCATGTTCGATTGGGAATAAAGGAGGAACGCTGCATCGCAGCCTTTTCGGACCAAAACCAGTCGACTCAGCGTCCAAAAGACTACACCATAATTATGGGCCAATCGCGGTCATCCGTGCTTTTATAAGAACGAAATGGCGCTTTTAGTGACATTTTGCATACAAATCCCCATCTCGTAGGCCGCAGTCACCCAGTTTCGGTGGAAGTGCGCGAGTTTGATTGGGATTCAAGTAGGAAGGGAGCGTCTCAGCTTCCTCGGACCAAGACCATTCGACTCAGCACCCCGAAGACTACAACTGCTGAAATTTTAATTTTTGCCTTAACTTCCCCTTTAACTGAGTTGGAACAATCGACTTAATAATTAAACACTTTGTACAAGTGCATGCAGGCCTGTGGAGACTGTTGCCGAATTCCTTTTATTTTTATTTTTTTAAAGCAACTAATTCTAATGCCTGGTTATCCCAACTGCGTCTTCATAAACAACTGAACGGCTTATTATTCCACCCCAGCACAGTATGTGCCTTAACTTTGTTACTGCCTTTTCAAATTATTTTATCTCTTTCCGACTTTACAAACTGTCCTAGAATGTCATATCCTTCAGACTTCACAGACTCTCTTAAACTGTCATGTCTTTCGCCTTCGCGGCATCAATACAATTATTGTCTATCCCCAGGGCCGCCGGACCAACTCTGACCGGCTCACCCCCTAAGATTCGTATAAAATCGGGGAGAAACATTCTGGGTACATGTACATTGGGCGCTTTCGATTACTAGTACACGTTTACACAATTCTGGAACTGGGTTTTGTAATTCTCGATGGACCAAAATGTACGATTTCCGCCCATGTAAACGAACGACTGGAATTCACAACGCATTTTATTCACGGCATAACACAAACAAAATTGGTCGCAAAAAGATACCACGTACACCTTTGCGCGCACGTCGACCCAGCTTCGCGTATATGGTACCGGTCCATCCCGGTGAAGGCTCCATGTCGGCAACAATATTATTGGGCTTCAATAAAGCTGAACGCGTGTGCGAAAGGACCACCCAACATGCATGTATGTATGTATGTATAACTCATAATCACAAGGTGATCGTAGAGGCATTATAGGGGAAGTTAAGGCAAAAATTAAAATTTCACCAGTTGTAGTCTTCGGGGTGCTGAGTCGAATGGTCTTGGTCCGAGAAAGCTGAGACGCTCCCTTCCTACTTGAATCCCAATCGAACTCGCGCACTTCCACCGAAACTGGGTGACTGCGCCCTACGAGATGGGGATTTGTATGCAAAATGTCACTAAAAGCGCCATTTCGTTCTTATAAAAGCACGGATGACCGCGATTGGCCCATATGTTGTAGTCTTTTGGACGCTGAGTCGACTGCTTTTGGTCCGAAAAGGCTGCGATGCAGCGTTCGCCCCTAATTCCCAATCGAACATGGTTGAACAAGCGGTCACGTGCTCTTGCGTACACCAGTCACCTGGTCACCGTGCCTGCAGGGTACAACTTACAGCCTGTTTGACCTTTTTTGGGTGCAGTCCTGTCACTCGAGTTGAACCTTGGTGTGAAAGTTGTCGCCTGCTGGCGTGGTGACCAGGTGATTTGGGCACCCAGGAGCACGTGACCACTTGTTCAACCATGTTCGATTGGGAATAAAGGAGGAACGCTGCATCGCAGCCTTTTCGGACCAAAACCAGTCGACTCAGCGTCCAAAAGACTACACCATAATTATGGGCCAATCGCGGTCATCCGTGCTTTTATAAGAACGAAATGGCGCTTTTAGTGACATTTTGCATACAAATCCCCATCTCGTAGGGCGCAGTCACCCAGTTTCGGTGGAAGTGCGCGAGTTCGATTGGGATTCAAGTAGGAAGGGAGCGTCTCAGCTATCTCGGACCAAGACCATTCGACTCAGCACCCCGAAGACTACAACTGGTGAAATTTTAATTTTTGCCTTAACTTCCCCTTTAATCAGCGAGAAAATTGTGAATGATGTCTCTGAATCCAACTCTATCGTGTGCTGCATGAGAGAGAGCATGCAAGGGAAGATCTGTCCAACTTTTAATGTTAGAAATCCATGATGTCGCGGGCCTTCCTCTCGGTCGAGATCCAGGAGTTGATCCTTGCAGGAAGGGCTTGGAGAAAACGTCATGTCTCGTAACATGGCCAAACCACATCAACTTAAATTTCTTGACTTCGTTCCTCATCAATGAGAAGAATTTCATCCTTCGAGATGAAATGCTTCCGCCGACTCTTACTTTTACTGAGTCTTAGGAGTAACATACCACGACCGCCCGGCGTACCAACCAATCTATCCTGCAGCCTGGAAGAAATCAATGACATCATCGGAGCAAGGATGCGGCTAGCGAACCCAACATAAGCTCCCAGTGGAACCTCGACGGCAGCTTTTCGGGAAGACAAAAGTAGCAACTACATGCAGTTGTAGCCCTGCTTTCGCGCCACACCACTCACCAGCCAGGGAGGCTCTTCCTTGACTTGAGTCATGCATGACCAGACCGGTAACCTGGCAACACACCGAGTGTGCTGGCGAAATTCCGCCCTCTCTTCAGATTTGACGGAATTGGATAAAATCTAACGACGGAATTTGTCACTTTTTGTGTAATCGAACTGTGCATCAACAATAACTAATTCTAGAATTGACCGAAATGCGTGTAATCGAAAGCGCCCATTGTAGTCGTCGCCCAAAAAAATCGGGCCAATGCCATGGCATGGATGCATGTAGATCTACCAGATGCCTGTACAGTCAGTGGCACGGTGCCTGGAGCTGCATGCATGCGTCAGTAGTATAGGCCCAGCAGGGTGCACACTGCTAACGTACTGGTCCACAGTACCAGCACCATGCATGAGCACAGTACAGTGGTGAAAACAGTCCGCGCTGCTCTCTCAGTCTCTGCCTGCTGAGCGAAAAAGGCTGCAATGCAGCGTTCCTCCTTTATTCCCAATCGAACATGGTTGAACAAGCGGTCACGTGCTCCTGGGTGCCCAAATCACCTGGTCACCACGCCAGCAGGCGACAACTTTCACACCAAGGTTCAACTCCAGTGACCACACACACAGGACTGCACCCAAAAAAGGTCAAACAGGCTGTAAGTTGTACCCTGCAGGCACGGTGACCAGGTGACTGGCGTACGCAGGAGCACGTGACCGCTTGTTCAACCATGTTCGATTGGGAATAAAGGAGGAACGCTGCATCGCAGCCTTTTCGGACCAAAACCAATCGACTCAGCGTCCAAAAGACTACAACATATGGGCCAATCGCGGTCATCCATGCTTTTATAAGAACGAAATGGCGCTTTTAGTGACATTTTGCATACAAATCCCCATCTAGTAGGGCGCAGTCACCCAGTTTCGGTGGAAGTGCGCGAGTTCGATTGGGATTCAAGTAGGAAGGGAGCGTCTCAGCTTTCTCGGACCAAGACCATTCGACTCAGCACCCCGAAGACTACAACTGGTGAAATTTTGATTTTTGTTATTTTAAATAGTAAAAAATAACAAAATAAATAAAAAGGAACTGGCACAAGTGCTTAGCTGAGCGCCAACTCCCCGTCCACCAACAGCGTGGTTCAGCACAGTGTCTCAGTTGCCGCTGATGGTTCCGAAGAAGCTCGCAGTTCATCGCTGCTAGCCAGCACTCCCTGAACATGCAGATACAGCACCGAGGTGTCTCGCTAGTTGCTGCTTTCAACCAGGGAGTCGTAAAATACCGGTATTTTACGACTCCCTGCTTTCAACATTGCCAATGCTGCAATCGCTGCTTCAAGTCCCGGGCCGGTTTTAACCGCCATAACTGCAACCGTGGAAAATGTCTTGCTGCAGCCGAGAGGGAATCGCTACCGCTGATCTGCCTGCATTGCCCAAAGCGTTTCCGGCGACAGCAAGACTTGACGAGGCACCAGAAGTCCTGCCAATGACAATGCTCTCCAAACTCTGGCCCCCTCCGGGGGGTGACATTGCCCCATGGCCAGTCCTGCTATACCGGTAAAATCCCGCCAGAGCGCCCATCTCTCCCATCCGCCCCTCACTGTCTACTCCCGTTGTGCTGGCCGCAGCAGAATGCCACTTCTGATCCTCTGTTCAATTATTATTTGCCATGGCGACCCCCGTAAGTCCACATAACGGGCAGGGCAAGGTTGCAACGTTGGGCCTTTTTTCTTTTTCTACGAGACTCTTTATGTTCTGTTGCCCGTACAAGAGGCCGAGTACTGTAAAAAAATATTTAAAAAAGACTTCTTGTCAGGGAAGTGATTGGTTGTATCCTCATATGACTCTGTGATGCCGTACTGTACTGCAGAGACGTGCTCGACCCTGTTGGAAATGTACGCAACAGTGCCCACCCTCTCGACCAGGGATCGCACAAACCCTGAGTTTTGATGGGTCTGTACGACTCCTGGCTCTTGACCGTTGGTCGGTGTACGAGATGCACCAACAGTTTTCGTAGGGTGAGTACTTTTTCATGTAGTACTGAATGCGGTATGCAGGACTCGCCCATCCGCCCCTCCCCACCTGGACCTACTCGAAGGGTGGCAGAGGTAGGGGCGCTCTGGCGGGATTTTACGGTAGTAGTGGGTGTGATGTGTGTGTGTGTGTGTGTGTGTGTGTGTGTGTGTGTGTGTGTGTGTGTGTGTGTGTGACCCACCGAAGCAATTGCTGTTTGGCAAGCTGCCTGCCCCCCGTCCTCGTCACGGCCCGAAGAGGTGGCGAGATGCTATGTCGACTGACCTGGCGGACCTCGGCGTGACCACCTGGCTTGAGAGTTGCCAAGACCGTCCCGGCTGGAGACGAGTTGCGAGTAGTACTCCCCGCCACGGCCCGCTCCTGATCCTCTTCTCTGTGTCTGCGGACGCCCGTTTCGTCGACCAGGAGACCTGAAACGACATGCCAAATTCTGCGCTCGTGTTCTCACTTGAACTTTCCGACATTCGCTATCATTGCGCACGCAATGAGCAAGATCAAGGTCAAGGTCAAGGTGTGTGTGTGCATGTGTGAAAGAGAGCAGGGTGTATTGCGTTGACATGGCCACCTGGAACCACTCGTGTCTCTGACTCTTAGCCATGGGGCGATGCCTTTGCCACTCCCTGCTGCTAACATTACTGTGCTTCACTGGCACGCTGATAATAAACCACAGCCAGAGGAAATCTTCAGTCCACGGTGACAGACCGTAAATATGACAATAAAGTTGCCTGTAAAATTAAAAATGATACCATGGACAGAGTCCATCGACAGGAAAAGAGCCGAAAGGCAGCAATAGCTGTGAAATTCATGAAAGCCGAGGGAAGGCAGCAGGGAAAGACTCTTGACTCCATGACTCAGTCTTGCTGAAATACGAAAATGACAGGACATGAACGGGTGTTTGAGTGCATACGATCATTGGATGGCAGTGAAAAGTGCCAGGAGCACAGCTCCAGGTCCACGTGCAATAAACCTATGTACATGCACACAATAAAAGGCGTTTGTGAAAATAATTAAGCAAGTCTTTTGTGTACCTCAAGCAAGTGTCTGTTATGTAGGATTCAACTGTGCTGCTGCTGCTGTTGTTGTTGTTGTTGTTGTCTTCTTCGTTGTCAAGGACATGGTAATGGTGAGGTGGCAAATCTTATATCTCATCCTTAGCATGCTGAATGTTTGATTCTTTGGGAGCAGGATTGTTGACAGGACTGTGTGAGTACAGGTATATTGCAGAGGACACTATGAATATAGCCAGCCACGTAGAGACACCTACTCGAATACCAAAGAAAATCCAGGCCAGTATGGCGGTGAACACCAGCTCCAGGCCACTGGCAAACGTCTTCAGGATGGAATTGAGCGATCGTAAGAACAGACTGGTGACAATGCCAACTGACGCATTGTTCAGAATGATGGCAATCACCTGCAAAATGCACACACACACGCGCGCACACACACACACACACACACACACACACACACACACATACAACATGTGACATCAAGCAATACTCAGTCACCTGTGGGCGCACGCACACACAGACCACGTGAACTCAACACACACTTGGTCACCTGTGGGCGCACGCACACACAGACCAAGTGAACTTAACACACACACACACTTGGTCAGAGCACTTCAAATCAACACACACCCGGTCGCACAGTAACCTTTGATGCATGTGCTGCAGGGACAATCCTGGCCTCATTTTCGCTTCAGTCACAAAAACAAGAGAGTACATGTACATGTAGAAAAACACACACACTGAGTGCGCTTTCATCGGCACGACGACTACTAGCACGGAGTCCACTTACGTTCCAATCAAGCAAAGCGTGAACGTTGTGAGACGACACGGCATCGCCCAGCGACTGTGTCAACGCCAGAGCAACGATGTTTGCCACGATAGAGTCGACGTACATGAAGACGTTCTGCAGCATTAGCGGCACTGATATGCTACCGTTGCTTTTGATCAGGTATTCGTTGTATACGCCAGCAAAGCAGGATGCAAACACCTGTACAGAACAATGATTGAATGCACAGAGAGGCACTAATGTAGCATGTACACAACAGTGATTGAATGCGCAGAGAGGCACTGATGTAGCTGCTGTAGGCATCTACCGGTACCGTATTATCCGGAGTATAAGCAGCCGCACCTTGAGCACTCAAAACTCACCCAAAAGAATGGGGTGCGGCTTATACTCGGATGATCAAATGAAAAATAGGGTAGATGTCTGTATTTCGTGGAAAAAAATGGGGGTGGGGGTGCGGCTTATACCGTAAAGTCCGCTGCAAACGCCCACTTCGCAGCAAACGCCCACCCCAGCGGGTCCATACTATTTTCGTCCTTTTCAGGTCAATATAGTTGTAGAAAACTGGCATGAAGGTCGAATGCGTAGGAGAACGACGGTAATGCCTACAAACTGCCTGTCTTACCAGGAGGCTCTGCTAAAACGATTGTCATCATCTTGCTGCAAAGAAAAACTTCTGTCGAGATTTCCTTTCATTCCATAAATGAATCGTCTTTGTTATTAGTTTGCTCTCCATGTGGTAGTGCTGTAGCATCCATCTGGCTTTCAAATCATTAAATTGTTGCAGTGCCACAATGTCGCGCTTTCAGAACGGAACGGTAGTTGTTCTGACGAAGCGTCATTCAACGACTTGATCGGTCACAGTATTGCAGTTGTTCGTTGAACAGGGGGGATGCCACAGAAGCTACACCTACAAAGTCGCTGCTGACTTGTTGAAAACTCTGAAGTGTTCGAGAAAAACCCTTGCCTTTGCGGGTTGCGTGATTCGGAAATGATGGCTTGAAACACTGTCAGAAGTGTATTGGTTCCTGCAATACTCTTTTCTTCGCTACTTTGTTATTCGGAAGACGCTCTCGCTTGAATTGGCGAAACTAACAACGAACATCATACGTATAATCACTACGAACTAGCTCATAGCTAGTGCCCAAAGAGATTTCGAAACCAGGAAAGTGGTATAACGTAGCAAAGCGCTCTGCGTGCTCATTGTAAGGTGCACTTTCGTACACAGTAGGGGTGACAGTGCATGGGGTCATTGCGTACAGGCCGGCAGATCTTGCAAAAATGGGGTGGGCGTTTGCAGCGGACTTTACGGTACTCCAGTGCGGTGTATAGTATATACAGTGCTTCCAGTGCATGGCCCGATGTTGGAAAGGTTGTGTGTGTGTGTGTGTGTGTGTGTGTGTGTGTGCGTGCGTGCGTGTGTGTGTGTGTGTGTGCATCCATATGATCCAGTGATGTCCCAGTCTAGTCTCGGCATACAGTACTGTCGGTCGCTGAAGAACTGGGGGGTCAGCCTCCTAACCTAGACCGTTCTTATTTTCATGTCACAGTCTCAGCGTTGCCAACCGCCCGTGTTTGTCCGTATTTTTTTACGGAGAAACGAAGTTTTGTCCGCAGTACGGATTTCAATCGAATTATCCCGCAAAAGCGAGAAAAAAATACGGTGTCTTCGAAAGCAGTGAAAAATGGTGCAGAAGACGCCCATCCACGTGTTCACGATTGATCAATCCAAAATCGGATCGCAGAGTGCATGCAGCCTGCAGTGCACTGGACATGTGCATGTACTACAGCTTCACAAGTGAACTCTGTGGCTGGAAACGTTGTACAGTATCGGGTCTTTCCAAATTTAATTACAGTCAGTATCGCCTATAGCGTTGGCCTTTGATTTTGAGCATTTTATCACTATAAGTGATATATTACTATGACTGATACTGCATGTACTGTATGCGAGTGGGGTATCAAAAGACTCAGCGCGCCGTGCGCATACACACTGCATAGTTGGTTGCAGCGTACGTCCTGTGTCCTCCCACCTTGAGAAATGCACCCTATCATGCCTATGCAACCAAGGCTCCTGACACACGTCAGCATTTCGGACAACTAATACTACAAGTAGAACTGACGAAATAACACTGGGCAAATTGTACACAAAGAAGTAACTTCCTGTTCACCTCTGACACCACTTGATTCCACGTCAATTGCTTTAGCCGATGCAAAAATAATGTAGTAGAGGTCTTTTGAAAATTGAATTTGATCACTATAAGCGATATTATTACTATAGACGATCATTACTATACCCGGTAACCGTGTATACTATACTTAGGTATGGCAAATGAAAATGAAATTGAGAAGTTGATCACTATAGCCGCCAACCTTATAGGCGATACGTACTGTACACTAATAATCAGTCAGAATGTTGACCTGAAAAAACGAGCACGCAAAACTCTGAAAATTTCTGCAAAATGGCACTGGGCAGTACGCATGGGGATAGAGGGCACTTGGTAACACTGCAGTCGACGCACAGTCACTGTGTATACATTGGTATGCTATGCTTGGTGAAATTCTGCCCTGGTCGGTCCTCGGCGCTCCGTTCTTCGGCGCCCGACAGTACTATACTGTATGGAACTGGTGAAAGACATAGCTAGGTGATTTGTATATGTGTGTGTATGCATGTATGTGTGTGTGTGGGGGGGGGGGGGGGGAGAGAAGAGCATGGAGCAGATGCACTGATTCCGGTGTCATTTCTTTCCTTACCTGAAACAAAAGATAGAGTAAGTGCAAGTCTAGTCTTGGCACAACGGGATTGTGAGAAGCACTCGTGTTGTTGCTGAGTGCAGCCGTCGTGGGGCCCACTGCCGGCGACCAGAAGCGGACATTCTTGACGGCACACCCGATCATTAGGAGCACCAGTGATGACCACTGGATGCGAGTCAGCTGCTTGCCGAACAGCACCTGATGAACATGCAGCACACAGTACACACAGTACACACACAGTAAATACAGCACACACACACACACAGTACACACAGTACATACAGCACACACACAGTAAATACAGCACACACACACACACACACACAGTACACACAGTACACACAGCACACACAGCACACACAGTACACAGTACATACAGCACACACACAGTACATACAGGACACACACAGTACATACAGCACACACACACACGCACACACACACACACACAGTACATACAGGACACACACACACACACACACACACACACACACAGTACACAGTACAGGTATACCCTGGTTAGTAGGACATCAGTTACAAGACAAACCTCATTAGTAGACAAGGATCAATAATCCCCTGATGCCTGAAACACGTACATTCACGTCCGGATACTACGGGGGATAGTAGCTAATACTCGTTACAAGACAACAAGTTTGACCCCCCCCCCCCCCCCCCGGCCGTCTACTAACGAGGGTAGTCCTGTACACAGTACCCCCCCCCCCCCACACACACACATACACTAGCACAGTACCCCCCCCCCCCCACACACACACACACACATACATTCAACTAGCACAGTTATCATTAATATCAGAGAGGGCAGTGGTGTCCCAACGGAAACGGAAGATGGGAGTACGAGCCACAAAGTAAATTGAATTGTAATTACCGGTATGTGACGTACATACCAGAGGGAGCTATGATCAGAAGAGTACCCACCACGGACAACCACATGCTCACGATACGCATTCACCCATTCCACTGAGCTGCACTCCGCTGACATACACATAGGAGATGACAGGAGTCTCTTTAAAAATGGATCCTCGGACTATGATTAGACTTAGTCTTAACAACAACACACCTGGAAGATGATACCAGTGACCACCACCCTGAGCTGGAGAAGTATGAAGTAGGTGGTGGGATCATAGTGCTTCAAATTGACAAACACCAAGTTATTGTAGATGGTGTAGAGAGCAGCGGGTACAAAGTACAGGGCAAACACTGCAGACGAGACAACACAAGAAACAAGACGGACAAGAATCACATGGTGAGGTAATGTAATCTGTACTCTGCAGAATGCATCGCATGTACATGACTGTACTCAATGCGCCTGCGTATCACCGCAAGGCACAACGCATCGAACTAGGTAATCAACAATACTCAGAGAGTCTCACCCTGAAGATTCTGACGAATAGTAGATATCGTCTCTTTGACGGTTGCCCTGCACAAAGGCATGCCACAGACACATAGAGACCAGTGAGAACAATACGTACACCGCATGGTGCGAACCCTTCGGCCAGAAAGCACACCTGACCACTCCTAGTGTCTCAAGCCTCCTACTGCAATATGCACTCGAGCCAGCACGCAAAACACATGCACACACACACACGCACGCACACAAAACACAAGCAAATATTATGTGCATAAGCATCCAGGCACACCTGACTAAGTACTAGTTCACACACAACAAATACGCAAAGTACAAAAAAAAGACTACAGTAAAACCTGATGTAAGCGACCTCTGTGTTTAGCGACCACCTGCCTTTAACACGGACAGTTCTACACAGAAACTGCACTGGATACAGCGACCAGCGACCGACTTTTAGTGTACCAAGTGCCATATTGGACCTGCACACAGCGACCAAAACTAAGCAAAAGTGAAATCTTGGCCGTCAGGTTCGACAGCAAAAGGGTTGAAGTGCGCTCTGATTCATGTGCATGCAGTCAACAGAAGTGACAAAGGACAGTGCAGAGTGCGCTGCATGCACTTGAGTGAGGCGTGCTCTGCTGCAGAAAGTATTCTATGCTCCACACCTGTCAAGATGAGTACATGGAAGTACAATCGTGCACATGTATGTACACAATCCGATATGTCACGAATGTATGGGACCTGGTTCCAAAGACCACCTGGCTTTAACGACCGCTTTTGCTTGCACCGTGGGGTGGTGGCTTAAACCAGGTTTTACTGTACTGTATTGCTAGCAGGGCTGAAACAATCACACCCAAGATTTGAATACACCATCAATATGCGAGGAAAAAAATAATTGAATTCGGAGTAAATCCAAGTACTCGCTCATGCTCCATATGCGCTTTACTGGAGAACTCAGCAGCTTCAGAGTTTGCGAAGAGCAGGGAATGATGTGCAGGCTACAGAGTGCGTAGTGGTACAGCAGTAGAGAGAGATAGATAGATAGATAGATAGATAGATAGATAGATAGATAGATAGATAGATAGATAGATAGATAGATAGAGAGAGAGAGAGAGAGAGAGACGACAAATGACCCACCAATCCATATACAGTACTGCAGAAATTGACACCTAATTTGTAAAGCCAAGTGGGCATTACGTGAGTTTCAGGCTTCGTATGGGGTGAAGAATACTCGATTTTTAGATTGGAGAAAATCAGAGTACTCTCACTTGGGATTTTACTGTAAATTTTCACCTCTAAATTTAAGTAAATTACTAATCATATAAAATCGTGCCAACTTACTCTCTCAAATGTAAAAATATCGCCATTCCCAACTTCACGACCTCTGTCATCAAGACAACTGTAGTGGCATTGTAAGCAAAACTGCCATCCTTACGCTTTGACGCTGTTACAAGAAGACCTGTGATGCACACACACACACACACACACACACACACACACACACACACACACACACACACACACACGCACGCATGCACACACGCACACAAAACCAGCTAGCAGCACAAATCAAAACAAATCCAACTCAAACACCAGCAATCGACCATCATAGAATACAGTCATACCTTTAGTCTAGGAACCTCAATTTCTGGAAGGACTTATATAGAAACAGATGATTTATAATACCGTAGAATCCCACAGATACTCCCAAATGTGTATAATATAAATAAGCCCATGGGTACACATAAGCCCACTTGTGGATAAGCCCATGGCTGCACATAAGCTCACCCATCATACGCCCATGGCCGCACATACACGCCCAGCTGTTGCTCGGCTAGCCAGGTATGAACATACACGAAACACTCGAGCAACTGACCACCTCTCACACACGCCAGTAAACACTCAAGTTAACTGAACTACTTTTGTAGTCGTGGCCAAAGAATTCCGACCCGCGTGCCAAACGAAGCACAGAGGCTTATGCGACCACTGCGACCCCCGGATGAGTTTTTTGAACCATACATAATGTAGTGGAAATGGAAAAGCGGCGCTGTTTTGACCTGTGAGTCGGATTTCTTTGGCCACGACTGTACTTTTGTGCACAAAGACCACCATCCTCAGACTGTCTGACCCCCCCCCCCCAGACCTCGCAAACACCTACACACACGCGCGCACACACACACACACACACACACACACACACACACACACACACACACACCTCAGACCTCAGACATGCCCATCGTGGAAGCGATGATAGCGAACAGCTATGTTGGACATAGCAACTTGACACACACACACACACACACACACACGCACATACACACACACACACACACACACACACACACACACACACACACACATATGCATAATGTCATGTTTGTGCAGCATACAACATAAATCATTGATCTTGTATGCATCTATCTACTTGCAGTATTTTCGGTGGCAAAACCTTCCCTAACACCCCAACCCTCTCTCTCTCTCTTCACCTGGATATATTTTCCTGAATAAACAAAAGTGTCCAAGATGGGAGGACCAGCATTATTATACATGCACTCCAAAAATGTACAATGATGATGATGATAGTATTAGTAGTAGCGGTAAGCATGTGTGCAACACAATTGTGCAATGAATGTCATGTGCACATACAACAATACTTGGAACACAAAATATTTTTTTGTGCGGAGTCTCATGTGCAGTACGTTTTTCTTCCAAGTCAGCAACAGCTATTAGGGGTGCAGGAAAAGGTCCAAAAGCCACAATGCAAAACTATACCTTGGTTGATGAACAGTGCCATGTAGGAGATAAAAATAACGGCTGACGCCTTTGTCGGAAACAAATCTGAAATCGCCATATCGATGAATTCCTTTCAGCTCCAGCAGCCGCACCTCTTCAGACTAGCTATATATGTAAATCCCGACGGCTGATGAGGAAATCATTCCCCGAAAGCTTTTCTGCAGATACACAGGTCTTCACGGAACGGCTAGAAAGCACTCTATTCTTCTCCAATGGAACGTATTTCGAAATATCCAAGATTCAAGGTGTGAAATATTAATTTCGCTTTTTCAGTTTTGAAAAGAAACAGATCAGATCAGCTTTTGGGCGCATGACGTCACAGATTACATGTGTTGTTTAGCCGGAAGTCTTAAAATACCGGTATTTTACGACTCCCCGCTGTGTAGCACGTGCACATTTGCATGACCGACCGTCGAAGGCAGCGTTGGCGCGACCACTCCGACCAGAGCCAGGCCTTTTTTTCATGAAAGTGAACATGCCTACATACATGTAGAATGTAAGCAGGAAGAGAACATAGCCATAGGCATAGGGGATAGGGGACTACAAAAGGGCGTGTAGGTAGTATAACAGTTACTAGTAATAGTATTACTTGAAGCTGTGCCTGTGAGGTCCTGCAGAAGGAATCAAGACTACAAGTGACCACAACAAGAGCTCATCCGTGATAAAACTGATAATCCTTGTCGAAGGGGGCAAGGGTCCGGCGGATTCTGCCGGCAGAAAAATTGGCAGAATTCGGTACTTTTTCTGGTAAGTTTCATGCATGTTTGGTATGTGGATAAAAAATGGAGCAGAATTCGGCGAGGAATTGCCCGCCATAAGGTTTGTATGGTTCTGCCAGTTTCACTGCTTTTCGAGCAGAATCTGCCACCTTTTCGAGCAGAATCCGCCGGTCCCTAAAGGGGGCTACCACTGAAGGCCAAACCGGGTGGAGAAGACAAAAATTGTAATACTCGAGTGACGTGCCTATGCAAGAATGAGGTGGAAGCCCAGTCATTGCGGCAAGCACCCCAGGCCATGGCCCACCCCAGACTCGTCTTCGTGCGGTAGTTTGCTCCACTCGCGGGCTTGCAAGGTGGATGTGGCGAGCCCGGCGATCCCTTTCCCAGAAGGCCAGGGTCCAATACCTAAAATCCACTGTGATGCCCGACCTATTATAATTATTATGGAAGTGTGGCATATAGCACGTCCCTCTCAGCTTTTGCTCTAGGGAAGCTCCAGCGTCTTCAGAACCGTGTCATCCGCGCTGTGTTCAGCCTACCGATCACCTCCCCATCTTGGCTACCCTTGCCTTCGAAATGCCAAACGTGCCTGCAGCCAGTACTCAGATCTAGCCGAAACATCAGAGGAATAAATCTTCCCAAGTTCTGCCAGGACTTGGTCAACTCTCGTTTAGAAGACTTCAGCACGGCGCAATCCTTGGAAGATATGTGGCAGCTATGGTATGACAAGGTCACCTCACTCCTTGACAGGCACGCTCCTATCCAGGAGCGCCACTTATCCAGCTCTAGACATCAGATTCGTACAAGATCCCCATGGGAAACGGCCGTTTACCATGACGCAGTTCGCAGACGAAATCATGCCCACCATCGATGGCTCCGAAAACCTACGGACACGGAACTTTATGACACATTTTCAGATGCCCGCAAAGCAGCAAAGCGGCTTGCCCGTCAGCTGAAATCAACTTACTATACACAACTACTGGACACGTGTCAATCCAACCCCCGTAAAGCTTGGAAGGTCCTCAACGACGTCTGCGGTCGGAAGAAATCGTCAACTCCTACTCGGCTCATGGTGTCTGCCCTCAATGCTCAATTCAGTTCAGTTGTCAGCTATCCGCAGCGACCTGATGTCCTATCCCGACCTGAGGGACCAAGCATAGCAGATGGCTTGAACCGCTTCGAACCAGCCACATGCGAAGAAGTGCTTGATCTCCTACTGAAGGTAGACGAGAGGAAGGCCACGGGTAGCGACGGAATTCCCTGCTATGTGTTGCGACACTGCGCTCGGGTCCTGGCCCCGTCACTGACTATCTTGATGAACGCGTCACTGGCCATGGGAAAGGTTCCGATGATGCTGAAAGTGGCCCGTATTCGCCCCATTTTCAAGGCAGGGGACACCGAAACTGCTAAGAACTACCGCCCTATATCTTTGCTTCCGGTTGTTTCAAAGATCCTGGAAAGGATGGTGCATAAAAGGCTATGTGCGCTCCTAACCGAACATGACCTCATCGACCTCCACATTACTTGCACTGGCACGCCTCTTGCCCAGACCAGTACGGCTCGCTACCTCGGAGTCACTCTGGACGAAAATCTTCGCTGGTCACCGCAAGTCACCTCTATCGTCCGACGCACGGCTATGAAGCTGCGGATCCTCCGCCAGATCCGGCACTGCCTAACAGTGCGGCAGGCGATGCTGTATTACTCTGCCCTTGTCATACCGGAAATTCTATATGCGTCGAATGCATTTCTCCCAGGACTGTCCGCTGAGCAGCGGAACACAGTAGCCAAACTGGATAAACGTTGCATCCGTTGCGTGGCCGATGAGCACCCATTGGCCCACACTCTTCCCCTGTACACCAGGCTGGGTGTCTGCCCAGTGCTGGAACGAGGGGAATGCAAGCTCCGACTCCTGACATTTAGAATCCGTTCTGGAATCGTCAGTGAGCTGTTGTCGTCCCGAATTGTATTGCAAGGCCCGCCGACAAGCATGACCACTCGAGGTCAATTGGGACGCAACCTTCCCCCCCCCCCCCCCCCACTTGTAGTTCCCTGGTCCTTTTCTTTGCAATAAATTAATCCTTTGCTCTCTAGCCGCCGGCGAGTCCAACAGTGAAATTGTTAGTTCATATTTATAATGTGGGTATGTAGGGGGGGGGGGGGTGAACATATTTCTACATAAGAGACCTGCAACTGTAATGCCACAGTATAGTAGCCGGCAAATACATGTATGTAGAAAACAGAAATGCATGTTACCATCATTGTACATGGACGGGCGCAGCAGGCCGAAGCTATCAGCCAGAACAGGATTTACAATCACCTAGAGATACTTGAGCTATTTCAGTATTCTCCGTGAGCTGTCCCATTCCACAATGGTTCATGCCACCATTATTTCTGGTAGTATCCATGTGCATAATTCCAAGACCATCTCGGATTCTTCAGCAATTTGTGCCAAGGCAAAAGACAACGCTCGACTCGGTCACTGGGGCTGTCAAACTTCCCATCACAAAATAATGAACTTCAATTTCTCATCTGTTTCAAGTATATGTACTGCCATGACTTGACCATGCTTCATCCACAGCTGGGCGAAGATTGTGGCGTTGACTTCCATAGCGCACCTTCTTGCTGCCATGCAGGAGTATGTTGAGAGAAGTGAACATATTTTTACTAAAAAACAACAGCCACTGAAGAGGATAGAAATAGCCTTGGGTGAATCTCCTGCAGGTACACGTTGTTGGTAGGTCTACTGGTCCGTCTCCATATCGTCAAGTTCAGAAATCACCTGTACTACACTGCACATCTTGTAGAAGGGATCCTGATCGAATAATTTCTGGTCATAAAATTCACTATTAAAACTGAGGGCGAGACAAATAGTCAGTACTCCCCGATTCCGTCAAGCTGCTTTGAAGTCTGGATGCTCAAGTGATGCTAACAAGCTCCCCGTCGTTACTTCCAGCAGCTTCACTTTCCCTGCGACAGTGGCTATCGACCTCTCTCTCCATCGTCGACAATTATCACGGATTCAATATTCTACATTTATCAGCACTGCACTGGTTGAATATGTCTTGAGACGAATTTAGCGGATCAACAACGCTTTGCTGGAGATAAATTCTCCTCTGGAGGACCTTCAGGATACCTGGAAGGGTATAGAAGACGGGATCGCTCACGACGTTGAAAGAACATAGAAAACAACCTCCTCTTCGATTGAAAATTGGCCAAAAAGTATGTGAAATGTATGTGCGCAGATGCATTTCCACTGGCAAGCTAGTCCCTCATTACGTCATCAGCGCTCGCTCGGCGAAATTCAAAGGTCGTCTTCCTGCTCGACTCGATCGCTTCTGGAGACTCGTTCTTGTTCGAGGCGTCTTCTCTTTCACCAACCTTCGTCTTGGCATCGAAAACTCGGCGTCGAAAATGAAGCCGGAGTGCCCCTTTAAAGGGCCAAATAACGCGATCTGAACTTTCGTGTCCCGTCAGAAATAACGTGCTTCTTTGTCCTGCGTTTCGCGAATTCGAGCGGTCGCACTTGTGACTTGTGTCTGGCCAAGCCGCTGCTGGACTTGAACCTGCGGTGACAGGTGCTGCCCTGCGGCGTGACTGGGTTGCCGAGGTGCTCGGTGTTGGGAGCAGGTCCGTGATCGCACCGATGGGTAGCCAATCAACCGGGACTGCGGATCCAACGCTGGCAGAGACGACACTGGCAAACGCCAGCCTGGTTCTGCACCGGTTTCTGCCGTTCCGTCAAGCATTTGTGACGCTTCTCATCTGATGGGCGGAAGAAGTACTGATCGCATACTTGGCAATGGACAGTGGGTGTGGGCGGCTCGGACTCGGAGTTAACGGTACTTGAAGTACTACTGAAGTACATGCGGCGCCAGTCGGGGCGAGAGTCTGCCAGATCATGCGAGGCCCGGGACGACAAGTTGACCACAGGCGTCTGCCTACTCGACATGTTAAAAGCCTTTGACAAGGTCAATCACAGCCAACTGGTCCGGGACCTATTCGATCTCGGCCTGGACAATGCCTCCCTTCGCTGGTTCTGCAGCTACTTTTAAAGCGATCGAACCCAGCAAATGCGCATTGGCCCCACCTACAGTGTTGCTGCTAAGTGCTCATCTGGAGTACCTCAGGGCTCGGTCCTAGGACCGATCCTGTGAGGCTGTGTAGCATGTACACCCGTGATGTCCCTGCCATAGCCCATCCTGCTCCATCTCTGCAATTTGCCGAAGACATTACCGTTCACTGCCACAGGAAATCAGTGATAGCCACATCAGCCTGCCTATCAGGGGCCGTCACCAACGTCGCTGACTCGCTCAAGCATCGACATCTGCTTCTAAATGACAAGAAGAGCCAGGTCCTGTCAATTGTACCACAACGTAATGCGGGTCAGCATGTCGCTGTCCGCTGCAACCAGACAGAGCTAGGTACCTCGGCGTGACCCTTGACCCGCTGTGAAGTGGGACCCCCATGTTGACGCGATGGCGAAGAAAGTTGTGCAGAAGATTGGAGCACTGTGGCGGTCCCGCAGATGCCTGAGCCTCAGTAGTCGCATCCAGTATGTGAGGTCAGTCATCATGCCTGATCTCCTATCGGGTCTAACGCCTTTTCTTCCTCCCTCAAGGTTTCACAGCTTGATCGCCTTCAGGTCCTGCAGAACCGAGCGGCGAGAGCGGTCTACGGTTTGCCGCCTCACACCTCTGCCCAGCCTCTGCTCGAACGGATGTCCTTGTACAGAGTTCGTGAGTGCTACGCCCAGAAGCAGCTCGTCCTGGTGTGGCGCTGTGTCAATGGGAAAGCCAGCAGTGTCCTCCAGGACCTATTCGCACCATCTGCTGGTAGCACCGCCCGGCACCAGGTTTCCAGGGGCCTCACTGTCCCCTCGGCACAATCAGAAACCGGCAGATCTCGCCTGGCCTTTCAGGCAGCCTTGGCCTGGAACGCACTCCCAAGGAGTGTAAGGGAGATCAAGGCTGCCCAGCAATTTAAGCTTGCCTCCATCGCCTACACCTTCCAATGAATGCTCTGTCTGACTTTTCCCGTCCACACATCACGTCATTTACTCTTCTCTGCGTGCTTGTGCACCTATGAACTCTTTGTGTTCCCTCTGTTGACGCTTCAAAATCGCTTATCAGACTAAATTACATAACAATTTGTTCTTCGCTGCTACCCCCAACCACACGTTGATGCGCTCACCACCCTCCGATGCCCCTAACCTCACAGCTTCCCTCTCTGTGTCTCGCTATCTCTCTCCCCCTTTCTCTCTCTTTCTCCCTCCTCTCTCCCTCTCTCTCTCTCTCTCTCTCTCTCTCTCTCTCTCTCTCTCTCTCTCTCTCTCTCTCTCTCTCTCTCCCCACGCAAACGCTGGAAGGACTGCATTAATGCAGACCTGAAGGCCCTGAATGCTGTGTAGGGATGGTTGTTGTTGTTTGTTGTTGTTGATTTTTATTTTACTTCGCAAGGCCAAACGGGTAATGGTGCCCAATTCTATGGAAGCGAATTTCAAAGGGGAGAGAGCTACGGGGAGAGAGCTACGGGGAGAGAGCTACGGGGGAGAGAGAGAGAGAGTGAGACAGACAGACAGACAGACAGACAGACAGACAGACAGACAGACAGACAGACAGACAGACAGACAGAGAAAGAAAGAAAGAGAGAGAGAGAGAGAGAGAGAGAGAGAGAGAGAGAGAGAGAGAGAGAGAGAGAGAGAGAGAGAGAGAGAGAGAGAGAGAGAGAGAGAGAGAGAGAGAGAGAGAGAGAGAGAGAGAAGACACAAACACACACACACACACACACACACACACACACACACATACAAACACACACACACACACACATCACACACACACACACACACACCACACACACACACACACACACACACACACCTCAGACCTCAGACCTGTCCATCGCGGAAGCGATGATAGCGAACAGCTATGTTAGACATAGCTGTAGCAACTTGTGCTTGGATTACATCATTCAACAGCTTGCAAGGCTGATGAATTGACCGCCACTAATTTTAGTCTGGTACCCACCACACAGCTGATTGAAGTGGCTTTTCTGGCCAAGGAATCCCTATTTTTCATTTTTCTTCTTTTTTTTACATTCTTCCTTCATTGTTTTGACAAACACACACCACACCACATAGTAGTAGTAGTTTATATTATTTTACTAGAGGAGTCCCAACAGGCTACTGCCTTTTTACTGGGAACCCTAGGTGAAGTTTAACCATATTAATGAGCAGAGCAAGAGTGTGGGCCTGTCGACAGTCAGCTGGAAGAGAGTTCCACCTGCCTGCCGCCAGAAAAGAAATAGAGCGCATGCCATACTGCGTATAAACGAGTGGGAGAACTAAGGCTCTTTGTGCCTTACCCCGGGTGCATGCCTGGTGACCAGGTGCAGTTGCCCGAAGCTGGTACAAAGACTGAAGAAGAGGACTAGCAAGATGCTGGGCCAAGCAGCGGTACACAAAAACATAGAGCTTGAGGCTAATACGCTGTTCCAAAGAATAGAGGTGATATAAGCGAAGAACTAGTTCAGTGGGCGTGGTACGATCGAGTCCAAACACTCTCTTCATTGCTATGTGACTAACGGTCACAATCCTATTGTACATACTCCGGCATGCACCGGCATGCACTGGTGGTAACCACCCAGGAGAATGAAAGAAGAGCTAGGAGAATGAGAAGAGAAGAAAGACGTGTGTGACCATAATCGTCGGGAACCCGCAACCTCTCGATTAGAAATCGACTGCACATACCACTGCACCATCATGTGACACACACACACACACACACACACACACACACACACACGCACACACACACACGCACACACACACATACACACACACACACACACTTGTACTTGCTCACTGCCATAACTGGTCACGTGGGTCTCCCCTTGGGAGAGGGGAAAGAGACTCGAAAGGAATCTTAGAAGGATGACTCAATTGGCTATTGAACCGCCCAACGGCCGACATACCCTGAAATCCCCAAACTATGGGTGGACTTGGAAATGACCCCACTTATGGGCTCACCACACCTCAGTAAGTGGGCGAGGACAAGGTCCAAAAAATGGATATTGAGATTATTGACGGCATCAGGGTATCCGTCCCGGGATCCAACTGCAGTTACCCCTGCCCCAGTGAAGGTACATGTACTACCTGCTACTGTAGTACTACTACTAGTGTGGGTGGCTAAATCAGAGTGGATCTGACTACATGCAGATCTACATTGTACATGTACATGTAGCTGGCACACACACTGTAGCCTGTGTAGGCTTTCTACATGTATTCCACCAGTTGGATTGGGTGGGGAAAACCTGTACTGGCCAAAGCCAAGGGCACGTGGCCACACCAAATGGCAAATCAGCAAAGCATAGCGCTAGCGGGCCACTGGCACTACTGCCCGGGCCGGTCCTGACCCGGATCGAGAGTAGACCGACCGGGGCCCGGGGAGTAAGTATCTGGCCCTATGGAGTTAAAAAAATCGAGTAGTCTCTGCATATGCATACATCAATACATGCCATACGATATACAGTGGTCCCTCTATAATCCGGCACCATTTATGCCACGAAAATCTGCTGGATTAGGGAGGGTGCTGGATTAACAAATCTGATTTACTGCTGCAATGTGCATGAAGAGGACATTTTGGCTACTGAAAATTGTGCTGGTTTATCGAGGGTGCTGGATTATAAAGTGCCGGATTAGAGAGGGACGACTGTACCAGTAACTATGGGCGCGTTCGAATTGTCTTCATCAACTGTTCTAACAAATTTTATAAAGAGATTAGTTGAAAAGAAGAAGGACAAAATGTTACGACACCATCATCCACCATCCGAGTTAGATTAGTTGAAGTGTCCCATTAGAAAGGTTTCTATCATTTTAGAGTTTTTCAGTGGAATTGTCATGGCGATGCTGACGTCCGATCAGATCGACCATCTCCACGTACTGCGTGACGTAGCTATTCCAAACTCTTCGAAACTACCTTCCCATCGGATGAGTTTCGAGGAGTTTCGAGCAGCTTCGTTTTTCTGAAGAGGCCAATAAGGCCACCTCTTCAGAAAAACGAAGCTCCTCGAAAAGTCAAAGAGTGACAATTCGAACGCGCCCTAAGTAGTGTTACTTACACACAGACGTGTCAGTTACAGAGTCAGTCTGTCTTTGATATGAAAAGTCATGCATGTGCATGATGTGGAACACAGCATGCTAGCAAGTATACACCGTCTACCATGGTCCACAGTCCACACTACTACTAGTCTATGGAGTAGATCTACTACTTAGTACAGCAGGATGGGCAGAGTGGACGGTTGTGGCATTATGCTGTGCAAGCAAGCAGCAAGGGCTTGTTTCTAGTTCCGAACGCATGCGGCATTGCAGGAAGACGGAGAAGCCGCGAGTGTGACGCTTTCTCCGCGCAGGACGGCCTAGATACTAAGTTGGTGTCAGTCGCGTCTGCTGCTACTGTGCCAGTGGCGTCCAAGTTTTCCTCTTGACCTGTCCGCCATTAGTGCACGTGTAGTTTTCTGCTGCTCGTGCAAAGAGTATCGTCGTCACCCGCTTGACCTCTGCGCGCAGTCAGGGTATTTTCGATTTTGATCGAAACGCTCAGTACTACAGTAGACTCTACGAGTAGATCTACTACACCAGTACACGGCGCCACTGGGACTGTAGCCTTGTAGGAGCTTGGAACTGTGTTGTCGGCGTAGAACGGTCGGTGTAGTTCATGCAGTAGAGCAGCAGTGGCAGTGTTTGCGCGCCCAAGATGCCTCGCGAATGGGAGTTGTCGGTGGAGGCACCAGAGATTGGTGTCACCAAAACTCTACTGGTCACCGGAGACATGATGATTGGTGAAATTATCGTCAAGCTCGCTACCGCATTCGGTAAGGACCTTTTCTTTCTTTTTTTCTTAGTCTGTCCGCTTTATCCCTAGCCACTTCAGATTGCCAACAAGAATGGTGTTTTTAGGTGGGGATGGACACAGGTCAATCCTAGATCATGCGTCGGTCGCTGTGTGTGCGTGTAGAGGGGCGGGTATTTATTATTGATGTCGAAAGTATTGTTGCGAACCTTCAGCGCCGTGGCGCGGAGGTTGAACACGATCTGCAGGGCGGTTACTGGCGTTCATGATCTTGAAATGCTGCTTGTAAGAAATTATTCAACACGTTGCCACAGTGCAGTGTTGTAGACAGATAGTCACTGGCTGTCACCGTTCTCTCTGCCAGTGTTCAACGGTTGAACCGGAGCATTCTTTCTGTTGGTGAAATCAACGGCAGCTTGGACTCAGGCTTTGGAGGTTTTGTATTATTGGCGCAAGTAACATCGTTTCTGTATTTCGCACAAAAAATCCATCACTGGTGAGAGGAGGCGCACAGCTGGACCGGTACTACTTGCGCGTGACGAGTGACGAGGGCGTGTGACATTCTGTGTTTATCCTTTCGACAAGTCACTTTGGCGAGTCGTGAAGCTCTCCTCTGCTGATCTGCTGGTTACTGCCGCTGCATGTACATGACGAGTGTACTAGTAAATGCTGCTGCTGCAGGGAAGTAACGTTAGTTGGGTTCAACGAGTAGTACTTGGTTGTCGCTTTGGTTCTTGAGTACGGGTAATGATAGTGCTCGTGGCACCCAATGCCGATCAAGGTTGATGATGGAGATTATTACTAGCACTGCGTTGGCACAGTGATCCCGGGACGGGCCGCCATCGGTGGCGATAGCGCTAGCTCCGTTGGCTTTGCGTTGTATATCATCACAGGTTTGATCGTGGCAGCGCGACTGGGTGTATCGCTTCCTCAGTTCTTGTACAGCTTCGCCTGTCGTGTTTCGGGGTATTTCAGGAAGGTGTTTTCCTCGACCGAGGCACGTAGATCTAATACTGGTATCATAATAATTATGGGGTTTCACGTGCACCTTCGCTGGCTTGTTCGCCTCGTACTGATTATTTCTATTTTTATTGGAAACAGCGCAGCACTTAGTTGTAACCTGGGCTCGACGTCATGTAGGCTGAAGAGCACTAAGCAAGTAACAGTTTGTAGGTACTACTCTGAGTAGATCTCATGACTTGGTAGTAACCCCTTCCCCACAACTAAGGCAACATGCCACTACATGGACTGCAGTCACCGTCACCAACAGGCAACGCTAACACTAGTAACAGCAGCTAACAGCCAGCGGTGTAGTGCTACTGCTAGCACTACTACTAGTACTACTACTACTACACAGGTTGTACTAGTAGCAGTCATGAGTCAAGCCCCAGAGGCCAGAGTTACCTGCCAGGACCACAACTATCATGACTATTGCTGGCATGACAGCCATGGCTACACCCTACTCCCTAATGTTATGACTTATGACGATGTTTACATTATGTACTACACATTGGCCGTGTTCGATTTCACATGGTTCTGGACTCGGGTTTTATATTTCTCGAATGACTTTAATGAACGGGTTGTGGCCATGTAAAAGAACGACTGGAATTCACCACGCATGGCTTATTTTGCCATACCACATTGAAATCGTAAAGGGGGATCACATGGGATCCCGTACGAGTACATCCTCATGATATAACCTAACACTGGTTAAAAACCAGTATTGCCGGGACCGGGGCTCTGCCAACCGCGGAAGGTTGTAGTAAGGTCACTGTTTCCGAACACAGTGTCCTCCACCTTGTTTCATGCTGTCAATCTAACAATTGGGTACATCCTCGCGTGTGCACGCATCAGGCGCGTGCCCCGTATGGGTTCCTGGGTGCCCGGAACACCCCCCCCCCCCCTTTTCGCTCAAAATGCAGGATTTTGCTTTATTTTTGAAAATGTTCCGGGGGGCCGACCCCCCCCCCCCCTTTGAAGGGCACCGGCGCACGGGCCTGCGCATGGTGTGTACGTCGAGTGCATAAATTCTGGCGGAAGAAGTACAAATTCCACTTTTTTCTGAATCGACGGAATGGGATTCCGTCGATCCAGCGACGGAATTTGTGTAATCGAATGGTGCATGCACCGTAGCGAATTCTATATAATTGTAGAATGGGCGGAATTGTTTTTAAGCGAACGTGCCCATTTGTGTAAACTGGACTTTGCTCTACTCAAACTACATCTGTGAAAATTGAATTAGCAAAAATGTGTTAGTGCCTACTCCGGAAACTGGGGCGAAGAATCGAAAGACGAACTGGGCAGTTTCTCATCCTGATGCCCGTTTCATACGCGGCAGTGATCACGGTGTTTGTATTGTGCTGTGTGGTTGTTCGTTCTGTGGATAGTGCACACGTGCTTGTAGTACGGGAGCGCGTGTACATACCAGGGATGTCGGAAGGTCATCGACGTTGGTGCGGCCGCATGAATAGGTGGTGGTCCGGGGTCCCCCCTCCGGGAAAAGTTTAGGGAAATTGGGCCCAAATAGCCCATATTTCATTGCTTCAAATGTCGCAAGATGAAATTATTGGTGCGGCTTTGGCCGGACCTGCCGCACCGGTTCCGACGCCCCTGCATACACATGAGAAAGAGGGAGGGAGCGTGTGTGTGTGTGTGTGTGTGGTGGGGGTGGGCTGTGCGCGTGCGTGCGTGCATCTGTGTATGATGTACATGCTAGGGTGTTGGGTGGACTGGGAGACGGTGTCAAGATGGCAAACAGGACTGCCGCAGCGCTGAGTGTGTCCGCTTTGCCCCTGTGATCTTCACATCACCTGACCATGCCAGTACTAGCCAGATTTTCAGGGTGTGTGTTGATGACTGTGTGTGACTTGATCACTTACTAGCATGTGATGAAACTTACTAGTAGCTGTCAAGGCAGTTCAGACGCGTAGTTTTTTTGGGGTTGGTCCTCACACCACACTGTGCCAAGCATGGTGCATGATGATGAGCGAGGCGTGCATGGAGGAGGTTATGTTATAATAGAACGCTGGTATTGGTGGCCTCTGGGCGGACAGCGAAACGCTTACTTTCTAATTGCCTTATGGCCCGGAGTGAGGCACGGGAATAGGCCTAGACTTTGATAACAATGCAATTGCACTATATTATTGCTATTACAATGATATCCTTATTCATTGGGCACTGGTTGCCGAATGGAGTCTCAGGCTGGACATGCAATGTTTGTCAAGTACAACGTTACAGTGCAATCATTGTAGGAGCTTGCGCAGCATGATGCACCGGTCTTGGGTAGCACTGAAACAGTATCCAGTTGCCATACTTCCGTTAGCGCTACTGCATGCAAGCGCGTGCGCCGGTGCCCTTCAAGGGGGGGGGGGTTCCGGTGGGCCTTCCCCGGGAATGTTTTCAAAAAATGAAGCAAAATCCTGCATTTTGAGCGAAAAAGGGGGGTTCCGGGCACCCATGAACTCATACGGGGCACGTGCCTGGCATGTACCGTATTGGGTGTCGTCCCTGAATTCCGCTTAAGTTGCGAGCAGCGGCCGATAGGTTTACACTGAAGTACAAAAAGGTTTACTCGGAGTAGGGTAAGCGTTCTGTGTACCTCACCAGGTGCAAACAATAGCCTCTTGTAATTGTATGGACAAAGCAAGGGCTCGGCCGCAGCTAACGCCCCTTTCGATGCCATTCTAGCAAAATGCTAGTGCATGCATAGTCCATTCCTCGCGTAGTTGTGCATACATATCTACTTAAGACTCACCATTGTGATTGGGTGCTTGGGCAGCGATTGTAGACTCTTTGTAGTGTGCACATGTGCTTATGATGTCAGCTGCATGCATACTAAATCGGGATTGTGTCGATCACAACACCAAGACTTGAAGTACATGGCTACTGGCCTGGTTTCTTCTCTGGCGAAAAATTCCGATGATTGTGCTTGCTAATTTCTCCCTAGCCATGCAACCTGCTGTTGTCCCGGGCTTTCTTGACGTGCACAGGACCTCAAGACTGGTCGGACCATGGCCTGTGGTGGCCGGAGCGTAGTGTGTGGCTGCGCCGGCCGCGGATAACACTGCAGGCGTACGGCATTGAGTCGGACAGCAAGGTTCAGTTCACTGCGCAGAACAAGCCGCTGTGCGTCAAGCTGCCGGATAGAACGGTTGTACGCATGAAGGTCAATCTAGCGTCCGAGTGTTTCCATGCAGTCGAGCAGGTAGGTTACTAGTGTAATATTTTTGAACAGACGACACTGTATACTGTAGTGTGCATGTTGGTCAGACCTGCAGTTCTTATCGTGTTGTCACCGCGCTGTCATCCTGGTCCCTTTACAGAGGGACGAATTGTGATATGGTCTGGGTGACTGGCAGACTGGTGAAAGACTGCAGAGTGGTTTTAGGATAGCCTCGGGATATTTACGATGTGGTATGGGTGTTTGGCATACTGTGCATGCAGGCTTTGTTGCACTGAACAGACATCCACGTACAGACATTCACTTACAACCAACCTGGCAGTTATGTTATTCACGAGGTTGACTGTGCATGCCTTAGCTATTATCCTCTGCTGGGTTTTTCTGAGGGCAGTCTTCTTTTCCGTGCACCGACCATGTCCTTGCAGGTGTGCAAAAGCATAGGAATCCGGCGCTTCGAGGAGTTATCGTTCATGCGCTGCGCCAATCCCGGCGGCCCCCCGAACATTGCACTGCAATACTACAGCTCTAAGAAGACGGCAGTGCACAGCCATTTAGAGCCGGGCAGAGACCACACGAGCGATGGCTGCATCCAGGGCGCCGAGTATGTTGTATCCGGTGGCAGTGCTGGTCTAATAGTGCGCTCCGATAGCGTTCCCGACCACACGTTCATGGACCAGATGGTGTCGACCACGCACGATCGTGCGTTCTTGAATGGCCTGTAAGTCAAGGGATAACATGATGACCTTTGTTTGTTATTACAGGGTGCGACAGAGCTCTCGGCCATTGAAGAAAATGTTGAGTCACCTCCACCATTACACTGCGCCCCTTAGTCCTCCTAGACCCTCCTCCATATCGTCTACGGAAGTGTCCTCGCAATGGTGATGGGTGTGTGCAGGAGGGTCTAGTCGGCTAAAGAGAGCAGTGTAATGGTGGAGGTGACTCAACACCTTCGTTTGTTGTCAGAAATTGCGGTCGAGTTTGCTGCATGTAGGTATTCAGTTGGCTATACAGTCAAACCTCCCTTAACCGAACACATCTGTTTTCCACAAAAAAATACCCGGATAGGCGAGGGAACCGGACAATCGAACACACATACTGTATGTATGCATGACATATGCTGTAAATCGGTGACCAACGATTTTCTTCCGGATGGCGAGGGATCCGGATAAAAGAGGACCGGATAAACGAGGTCTGACTGTACCGGTGTATGTAGTGCATACTAGCAGATACTAGTGGTGTGCATTGTGTAGATCTGTGCATTGTGTAGATCTGAGCATTGTGTAGATCTGTGCATTGTGTAGATCTGTGCATTGTGTAGATCTGTGCATTGTGTAGATCTGTGCATTGTGTAGATCTGTGCATTGTGTAGATCTGAGCATTGTGTAGATCTGTGCATTGTGTAGATCTGTGCATTGTGTAGATCTGTGCATTGTGTAGATCTGTGCATTGTGTAGATCTGTGCATTGTGTAGATCTGTGCATTGTGTAGATCTGTGCATTGTGTAGATCTGTGCATTGTGTAGATCTGTGCATTGTGTAGATCTGTGCATTGTGTAGATCTGAGCTAGTTATCTGAGAATGATGCATGATGTGCAAATGTGTGTGTTTTTTTGTGTGTGTGTTTTCATTTGTTTGTTTTTTGTGGCGTGTGTGCTGTTGCAGATGGTTTGACTCTTCAAAGTCCCTCTACTCCCAGGTAAGCCACTGACAGAGAAATTGGAAATGGACACTAGCCCAAACTACACGTACCTGTAGTTCTTGTACCGGCATAAGCAGTCCTTCTAATGCAGCACCTCTAGGGCAAGTTTGACAGGGACTATCTACCATTGTCATCATTCTCCAATACTATGTTTTAGGAACTTAGGCCACCTGCCTATTGTTCTTTTCTCTTCCAAACTTCTTTCTGAAAGGTTTCATCATTCTTGTGAAATGTAAAGGTAGTCGATGATTCTGCATGTGTACAGCATTTGCAACCCATAGAAAGAGGATTGCTGTCACGATTTGATTTTTGTGTTTTTCAGGGTGTGAAGGAGGGGGATTTCATTCAGCTCAAGTTCAAGTACTTCACCTTCCTCGACCTTGACCCGCAGGTTAGTGAATGTCGCTGAGCATGCACCGTGTGTAATGGCCGTACTGTATGTCACTCTCCACAGGATGCTCTAATGCGCTTTCTTACAGATGTATGATAGTTACTTCCTCCGTTAAGCAAAACTTCGTTGCGTTTTTACAGTTCAGTCCAAATCATTCTATGGCTACGAACACGCTTTGCAAAGCGGAAAACAAGGCAGCATATGAAAGATATTTATTTACAGATGTCACACAGCTCGTTTCAAAGCAGTCCAGCTTCACTCTTCGTCTGAATTTGATGACGACTCACTCCCTGATGACATCGAGTCTGCATCCTCGCTGACTGTCGCCGCCAGCGCTGCCAGGTTTTGTTCCGCAGCCTTTTCAAGTTTCCAAGACACGATTATTTTGATCGTGGAGATCTCCAAGGTCTTCGCTCGAACTGTGCCCTTGACGACCTCCACGGTGGTGCTGCTAGTTGTGGCCACTCTCCGGACCGCCATGGAAGGAGGCATACAGACCCAAACAAACGCTCGCCATTTTCGCTGCGGTGTGTCGTGCCAGCACGTTTCCACACCCTGCAGAAGCTCCTTTCTGGTTTCCTTCGCCACGAGTGACACGTCTGTCTACAGGCTGTGGAAGAACGCCAAGTCGTCGACGTTGAGATCAGGATTTTGCGCCGACTGAACGACAACCTGAATGTCGAACGCTTCTGATTTCCCCTGCGCTGCAAACACAAGTGCATTGATTTTGGCTGTGTGCGGATGCGCACCATCGACTCGTGCTAGTACCATGAGTACAGCAGTGCCTGAGCGCTGGCCGGCTCCTGGACACTTCTTCGAGCCACGCGGTCTTTCAAACTGTTTCTCATTTTCGCACTTTGGCGTCATGCGCGCGCGCCTCGGGTTGTGTTCTGGTGACATCCTGTCGAGAAACGGTTCTGCTTCGCCGATTTTTTCAAAGGACTCCACGCTTCTCGGAGGTTCAAAAGCCTGTCAGAACAATGGACGACAACTCAGCTACTCTATGTAGGGGATAGATCACTGACATGTATGTCTAATGCCGACAGAAATACCATGACAAGAACACTAAAAATGCAACGAAGTTTTGCTTAACGGAGGAAGTATAATGATTGTGTTAATGGGTTGTCGTGAAAAGGCAAGCCCCTCAACTCGGACTCGTTCCAAGAAATGCTGTATGGCTCGGTGGTAGTATAGCAGGGGGAGAAGTATTTATATAAATCTATCTTTCCCTGTCAAACACCCAGGTCGATCGGCTACGAATTGGTCACCTGTTCGAACAGGCCCATTGGTCTGTTGTGCTGGAAGATGTCGACTGTACGGAAGAAGAAGCTATCTCATTTGCAGCACTCCAGGTAAGTTGGGCTTGGCAATCAACATACACACATTGGGCTGGCAGAGGACTTGAAAATAACAAATCTGTGCCACCACCTACGTATGTTCTGTAAGGTGCATTGAACACCAGCAAGCCACCCCATGCTACGCCCTCTTGGGTTGTGGATGGGGCAGTTTGAACAAGACATGATTGTAATTATGTCTAGCTTCTACGTGGAACGCACGCTTCCTGCCGAACTTGACACTTGGCTGACTTGTACTAGTAGGAGCAACCAATCATCATCAATACCGCTGAAGTCGCTACTTCTAAGTTCGTATGCCTAGCTTGTTTGGCATTTTGCCCGGAAAGGAGGCTGTTGAAACAAGTAGTAAGTTTATACCTAGCTTGTTTGGCTCTGGCTGAATTTATTTGGTTTGATGTGGTGTCCTAACACTTGTGTGTTCAGCTGCAAACCATTTTAGCCAGGAAACGTCCTGACCTAGGCCAGCAGGCACAGCCAGCAGAAGACTCCTCTGATCTGGAGGCAGCACTCAATGATCTCCAGGTGTCACTGGGGACGCAGTCAGCTGCGGCAGCGGTAAGGCTTTGGGAGGTCGTGGCTGTAACTGTTATACAATCATGTAACAACGATATAATTATTGTTCTTTCATTCGGCGAATAGTTGTAAGTGCATTCCGCAGTGTGCTGCCTCCTGCTGCTGCTGCTCGTGAGTGCATGCATGAGCAAGCATCTTTTGTAAGAGGATGTGTACACGCAGAGGGGGAACAATATGGGCAGCAGGACTGGGGTGGGGATACCGAGCATGGGGGGGGGGGGGCTACATGGCGTACTTGGGGACAAACACTACTGGCATCATCAACACAGCCATCGGCACGAGATGGAGAGCTGGTGGGAAACTATACCGAACTGTCAGCAGGGTTGAGAATGCAGCTATGGGTCCTGAAAAATGTCAACTCCCAACCGAACATCAGGCTGAACATCACCAACCAGAACGTTGCGGGAAACTTTCTGACCATCAACGGAAAGGGACAAACATGCAGATACATACAAAAGGATAGGTGAATGACCCATCAACAGCTACAGCTGCATCCAGCGGGTCAGGCTGAAGGCTGATCTCCCTTAGAAGCCGTATCTTGTGTGACTTGAAATCACGGTTTGATGGTATATGTATTCCTCCAGAACGCTCTGGTGCTCTCGTTTGGAAATAGAAAAGTGTTCCGTCTCACATTGCGTGTTCCTCTCTGTTTTGTGATTTGCTGTTCATTGTTGTCAGGCACCATCAGTTATGGTGGCACGAAAGGTCGATGGCCATCTGAAAATTGCAAAGTAAGCCAAAACCGTGTGTTATTGCCTCTCCCCCCCCCCCCCATCTGCACACATGCCCCTCTGCATACATATACGCACAGGTACATGTATGTGTGTGTGTGTGTGTTCCCAAGGTTTCCAGTGAACCAGGGAATGTTTTCCCTGTTGCCAGAATTCTGTGTTGGCATAAATGTGTCCAGTATAAGTCCTTCTTTTTGGTCTGAAATTTCTTTCATTTTGCCACTTCGGAATCTTGTACTTTTGAAGTTTTGTTGAGTATAATGATGTGTGTGTGTGTGTGTGCGTGTCTTGCTATACTGCCGTAGAGGATCGAGGTTACTGGGCAAACAGAAAGTTGGGTACTTTGTATTCCAAGGTAAGCCCACCACTGTCGGCTTAGCAAACCCAGGAACATCTTGCTGCAGCACCTAACATAACGTCAATAGGAATGTGAAGTGAAATGATTCAAATGAACTACTTGTACAAGAGACCGTCTCAAGTCTACTTCTTATGTAATGTTGTGAGTACATATGCAGCAAAAGCAACACCTGTCTCTGGCTTGCATAAGTGTGTATGCATCTAATTATATATGTATCCGCATGTGTGTGTGCACTTGTGTGTGTGCGTGCGTGCGTGTGTGTGTGTGCATGCGCACCGATGACCCGTTGCAGAATGTTCACTTCTACAGTACAGCAATCCCAGTATGGGTGGTGGCCAGATTGGACGGTACAATTTCCGTGGTAAGAAGAGGCAAGCGGGGTATTTGGCAGGCAAATACTGATGTGTGCGCGTGCATGTTACAATGGCATAATTATGTACTTGTACACACATGCAGACTGCAGGACTAAAGGTTGTATCAATACAGATCTCTCCAACGTTTCCATGGCCATGACTGACGGCTGGTTTCTCGAAACTGAACTTGGATTTGATCAAACTGTCAGGGACGATTCGTCATAACAGCAATACCAGTATAGACGTGATGATGTTGCTATCAGTGAAGTATCAACAACTAAAAGGGTTGTTACTGTCGTGAGTTGTCGTGAATTTGCCAGCGTATAATTATTGCCTTACTTCAGAAATGCAAAATAGTCGTGTACTTCCGGGACTGCCCCTGGTTCGAGTGCTCACGGCTGTCTCAGTGTCTGCGCGTAACCACTTTACAATAATGGCGTTGATTATTGCGGCTCACGCGGAAAATTCTTAACACTCACCGTATTTTGAAATTCAACTACTATAGTATGTTTTAGACAGACTGTCTCCGAAACTCATGCAAAAGGGGCAACTACGATAAGAAAACCCGAAATTTATTGAGTGATCGATCGCGAGGAGAAAATAGTTTGAAACTAATTTGAAAGTAACGACTCATTATTGACTCTCTCTCTCTCTCTCTCTCAATCTCTCTCTCTTTTTTCTTTTTTTCTTCGACAATATTCTTACCGGAGCTAGTCAGAGCCTCCTTGAGCATCTACTTTTCGTTTGCGCGACTGTGGCACCAAGGTGCTTGCTTCCTTCGTTCTTGTTAGGAGGCGCTGGCCGGCTACTGTCTTCAAGCGAGCCAGAGCACTTGGGATGTTCTTGAACAGAGAGTCCAACGTCTTCAGAGAAGAGTGTAGACTCTCTGCTCCCCGCTCCGCCAGTAAGCCAAGACCAACACCCAAACGCTGCATGAGTGGAGCAGTATGCTCCTCGGTCAAGTGAAGTTTAGGCGTGATGTGCCCCTGCCCTCTGCCGACTACCTCTTCTCTGCACAGCTGAAGAAAACGAAGAATTTCATCTTCAAATCGTTGCGATTCGTGCTCGTCTACGGCTTTACAATCACGGGCTGAAAATCGACCTTCAGGAAGCATAACTATCAATCAGCTTCTGATACCGAGTGGCAACTCGAAATGTGTCAGGAACAAGTTATGGAAATCTGACCTCGACAATGGGGATGTGTGCATGTGTGATGGCAGGGACCACGGTAGGCTTCATGGCCTGGTGGACATTATTGCCAATGAAAGCTCCGCCGTGGTATACCTGGCGCTCTATCTTGTGTTGTTGCAGAACTGGCTCGACTGAAAGGAACATGGGCCGTTGAAATCTTTGCTGCCACTAACCTTCAGAATTTCACGTTGCAGTTCACCATGACGCTTGCTATGCTGCTGATGGACAGCAGCAGCAGTTTGATGAGCCTGCTGAAGACCTTGCACTTACTTGCCAACCATACCGTAGTTTCCCGGTATTATACCGGGAAACTACGGTCACTACTTGTCTTTGATGGAAAAACTACCGTGGGTATTGGCACTATTGGCACTGAACCATGAGTGTTCATAAAAAGGTTGTTTAGTGGTGTGACAAGGGCACATGCGTACCCTGCATTTCACAGAATCACACATGTAGGGGCAATCTGACAATAAAGAAGCTCAGGTTTTGGTCCCCCCAATGAGCAATGGGTTAGAAATGAATAAATAGAAAGAAAAAATTGCCAAATATTGCGGGAAAATAGGCAAAAAATAATCTAAAATGACCCCCAAAAAAGAGAAAATGACCGAAATTGGCGAAAGCAGGGAAATTAGGGAAATGAGAGAAAATTAAGCGAAACTGGGTATGTGACTAAGGGATTTGCTTTGGCTGGGTTGGCAAGTATGCTTGCAGAATACCCAGTGCATCCTGCTGACCATGTTGTTGTACATGGAGTGCTACAAACTGAAGTTGTTGTTGAACTGTCTCCAGTTGATTGGCCGAGTCGGTCAAGTCTAGCGATGCTTTGCACAGGTCTGTGTAAAGACTGCACAGAGTTGTGAATGCTTCAGCATCACTGCTCATCGCGGGGCACTTAGCAGCAAGTTGAACGTCGAGCTGCCTAAGTTAAGGTCTTTCTGAAAAGCGTCAAACAACCGGCTGAATATTCCGACCAAGTGTAGCACTGGAACAATGGCATTGCTGACCGGGACGGGGAATATCGTCGGACGAATTACGTTGTTATAATTCTTGGCCTGCGGCAGCGGAAACCCGGCAGCAACGAACTTGTCGTGATCTGCTAACGGCTACGTACCTTGGAAATGCCGACAAGGTACGCCGCCGTGCCACCGCCGTGATCTCCGCCGATCTTCAGCTAGATGTCCTCTTCCGGGATCAAGGCGTACATACCAAGTCAGGCGGTCACTTTCACTCAGAATATCCAAGAAATGCATCACGGTCGCTATCAGATCCGGAAAGAACACAGCTGCTGCCATGGACACATCGCCGTTTTTCCTGGACATGGGCAACTCAACGGCTGTGTAGCTGGGTAGCTTCTTCCCAATGAAGTCTCGCATACAGTTCTCAGACTCGAGATGGACGCCGTAGACTCCTGCTGACCCGCCGCAAACTGACTCTGAAATCCGAGTGAGCTCCGCTTCTCGTCGCTTGAGCGTTGACACTGACCCTTAGGATGACGGAACTATGCAACTGGGTGTGAGCTGATAGACCTGGGCTTCTCCTACATTCTTCACTCGTCTTTACCTCAAGTTTGTCACCCTCTGCCCTGGCTGTGACGAGACACGCAGTGAGGCTGGTTGCAACGTTGCCCTGCAACTTCGATGGCGACGCCGGCAATAGTACAGTGGCAGATGTATTGTCTCAATACATCTGCCACTGTTGACGACGCCGGGACGGATCGAATTGGAGGACACCGTGTTGACACATCGGGATTGAAGATGCAGGTCTGCACGTGCTCTCAGCTGATACGGTGGCGGGGCTCCCATTTTACTGCAGGACCACACAAAACTTGGCCTTGCCACTAGTTCTTTTCAGCTTTTTCTCACACAGAGCATATATATTATATTGTGGGTGCACGTCTGGTTTGTCCTCAGAAATATCAACATTTAGGACAGACTGGAGAGTTTCAGCATGTTTCTCTGCACTGTAATTTCTGCCGCCTATGCGACAGAGCTCTTGCAAATACTGCAAGTGCTCGTCCATGTTTCACAACCACTACAACGAAAACGAAGCAAAATTGACGATTTGTTTAGACGCACGGTTTTCGGACTCGATGCACAGATTACCATGAGATTTTTTCCGTGTCCTTTGAAGATACGTACCTATTAGAAACTCAATGGATCTAGTCTATCCGTAAACGAGAACAAGGTTGTAAACGAGAACAAGGTTGTAAACGAGAACAAGGTCGTAAACGAGAACAAGGTCGTAAACGAGAACAAGGTCGTAAACGAGAACAAGGTCGTAAACGAGAACAAGGTCGTAAACGAGAACAAGGTCGTAAACGAGAACAAGGTTGTAAACGAGAACAAGGTTGGGAAGGGCAGATGCTTTGAGTAAAATACCCACGCGACGCACAAGAGGAAAGAGAGCTCGATCGACAAGGAAAATTAAACAAAGTGGCCTGTGTTTGGCATGCACGCAAAGCTGAGGACCCACCCAAGCCAGAAATTGCTACTTCACTTTAAACCTGGGCGAACGAAGCCCATTAGGAGCAAAGCCCTTGACATACCCATCCAATTTCCTTGAACCAAAACACAAAGATCAAGACTATGATTTTTGAGCTTTACGCGACGCCATTTTAGATGGGCCAAAATCGCGCAAAAAAAAACAGCCGTGCCCTGGTACCATGGTGGTGGTAATCAATTTGTTGCAGACGTTTTCCATTTCAACTCTGTTCAACTTATGAATAACTGTGTACAAGCCAGTACTTGTGTGTTCTGCTGTGTGTGTGTTGCCTTGCCACCAGGTGCCGTTATCACACCAGATGTTGATCCTGACAAAGGCAAGTACACTATCCGTGCCGAGGTAGATGATTCCGGCAGTTCAACGGAGATACGCTTGACGGCTGAGTCCGTAAGTTTGAACGAGGCACTCATCATGTTTGGCGTGTGGATGCGTGCATGCCTGCCTGTGTGCGTACATGTATGTGTATGCATGTGTGTGTTTCTTTGCGCATGGACATGAATGTGTGCATGCAAGCGCTTGGCACTCGAATATGTGGCATGCATCAGTCAACTACTGAGTAGATCTCTTGGCATGTTGTGGTTCTCACATTCCCCCGTTCTCTCTCATGCTTTTTTCCAAGCATAAGCGTTGCTTCGTCTTAAAAGTGCCTAATCAGTTTATGCTTGAACAATGTTCATCATTTTCAGGAAGAAGAGTTTGCAATGTGGCTAGCAGCATGCAGAATGGCATCAAGAGGCAAGGCTGCCGGCTCGGCCGGTTTTGAGTCGGAGAAAGAAGCGTGTGGAGTGTTCGTCAGCATGTTGACACCGCTGAAGAAAGCTGAGGAGGTAGGTCCTGTCCTGTCCTGTCCTGCCCTGCCCTGTCCTGCTTTTTCCAACACACACTGGCCAAGGTATCAGTTCACAATGCATGACGAATTGGGAATTCCGCTAGGACGTGAAAGGTCTGAGGTGGAATTCAGGTTACACTAGGAGGTGAAGGCAGAGAATGTGACAGTGTCTTACAGCAGTTCTGCTCGTACACATGTCATATATGCCATGATGCGGCCAGGGGTGGCTGTGTAGTGTAGAATTCGTGAAGTTTGCAATGATGTAATGATTGTCATCGGTTTGTTGAGCTACGGCATGATAGCAGTGCTTCTAGTAGAAGCCGTCTACTGTTCTAACAATTCAGAAATACTCTGAAGTAAACATGTGGGTGTTGACGTTGACCAGACAGAGTGACTTTCCGCATCTGTCTGCTGCTTATTGCGCGCCGTGGTGTGGCCCGTGGCTACACGTAGAGACAGATTGGAGTGTGTATGTTGTGTGATGTATGCACGCCCAGGGAAAACGCACTCTGGCCAGCTTCTTGCCACAGGCCCTGATCAAGAAGAGAAACATCAAGCAGGTACGTCCATCTACCTCTTCTCAGAGGCTCTACTACTGTACAATGGTATAGAACTCCGGTAGTACACTTGAGACTAGCTGGTCCTCAATTGCACCATTCCTGCACTACCAAGAACTGCTCAAGCTACTCACTCACAGAAAAAATAATGATGCTCAACATGTGCCTTTTGTTAGTTGTTGACGAAATTATGGATTTCATTTGCCCGGAATACCATTTTGCTCCAGCTGGCTTCATCTATCCTTGATGCACACGCCAGTGTAGCTGGCCAAGCACTGCTGGAGTCCAAGCTCAATTACGTGCGCGCTTGGGAGGCTCTCCAAGACTTTGGTGTCAGCTATTTCCTTGTCAACTTCACTATTCCGGGACGGTCGAAGGAGGTAAGAAAGGCAACCGTAAACGCTTTGCACATTTTCCTTTCATGCACTGTTCTCCAGCGAAAGGGCTGAGGGTTGTAACTATCAGGCTTGCGTGCGTATTGGCCCCATACGCATAACATGTGTAACGTTAGTAACATCTGCAGAGATCATACGTAGTCTTGTTTTGGCCGATACTGTGTTATTGTCCGTGTAGCTAGTAACTACTCTCTGTATGCTCTCTTTCTTTTCCTCCGCTTGAAGGAACTGCTCGGCGTGGCGTACAACCGGCTGATCCGCCTGGACGCCAACACGCACGCACACCTGCAGACGTGGCGCTACTCGACCATGCGCTCTTGGAACATCAACTGGGAGATCAAGGAGCTGAAGATCGAGCACGAGGACGGGCCCATAGCGTTCACGTGCCGCAGCGCCGACCTGAAAATCCTGCACGAGTTCATCGGCGGGTACATTTTCATGAGCATGAGAAAGGACGTGCACGAAACGGTCAACTCTGAGATGTTCTATAAGCTGACCGGCGGCTGGGAAGGCTAGAACTGCACGGCTGCTGCCACTGCACTTGTTAGTAAGGTACACACGGAGAGAGAGAATCCTGTTAGGAGAGCAGTGCATGCCGCGAATGTCTCTCGCCGGCCCCCAGTGCAAGCCAAACGTTTTGAGTATCGGAGAAAAAAACTGTACACCCTTCGCACTCCTCCTGTTCGCCACCACTGGATCAGGAGTGTGTGAACAGGACTAGGGACATGTCTTATTCTTCTTCTACACGTAGTGACTGTTCTACTAGGGTTTTTGTCCTGTTTATATCTGTTCATATCCGTTATGTGTATGTTTCTATGGCTGGCTCAATTGGCCCTGCACTATCCAATGCCGCAAGTACTTGTAACTAATTACTACTAGGTGTTCATTGGTGCTTTCTCATGTACCGTGGCAGCCGCTCCATGTACAAGTACATGTATTTCCAAGTTTGGTTCTCCCAGAGGATAGCCCTATATATATATAGGTCATTGCTGTACTTCAAAAAAAAAAGTAGCTACTCCATCAGTGCATGCACGGTGTCCTAACTAGAATACGTCGACCGAGCTCGGACGGAGGAGTTTGGAGTGGTTATTTTCAGTCATGCCTGGTATTGTTTAGCGGCAATGATGTTTCACAAAGTTATTTTTCAACAATGCTAGAACTGAAGAGGGTGACGGCAGTGTGTGGAGGCTACACGCTATGAACAGATGTGAGTGCTCTACACAACGCACAAGGGCCGGCTAAGGTCTGCAGTACAAGGTCATGGACATTGTGCCCTGCCCTGCGCATAGACGAGTTATTGAGCTATACTGCTGGATACAGTCCTGGCTTAGTGTGCATGCATTGATAAGCCAGCAGCATACTCGGACTGGGTTGCTTGTTTCAAAACTAACTCTGCAGCTGCTGAGTGCTGTATGGATATCTCCATGCAGTGTGGCAAGCCAACAATGCATGAAACATGAGGGCTGCTAGGAAGTGCATTGATGGTATAATATAATAGGTACACTCATTGTTGTGAATAACAAAAAAAGGTGTGCACGTTTCGCCATTTCTGTCAAAGTTTTCTACTTCGAACTAGTGTTAACATTTTCCTCTACACCATTGAGCCCTCTGTTCACCTCACTGCTCTTGTACTTCATATCCGCTAGGAACACTTGCTAGGTTTCAACAATCTCTTAGGTTTTGTCGGCTTAGATTATTTTATTAAAACACTGTTAAGTCTGTATTCACCGCTACTATTCGGGGAATTCTAGACGTCTGTGCTGTGCAAAGTGCTCACTCGTGCAATTGTGCTGCACTGCCAGAGTTCCTTCAAGGTTGGGGGGGGGGGGGGGGGGGTTGTACAGTCAAATCTCGGCTCATGAGTAGAACATAATTCAGGAAATCTTGTGCCGGTTCATACATGTGCATTTTTGACACACACTACAACTCGATGATGCACAGAAATGTGTTCCCCGCAGCAGTCCCGCTTATCCAGGGTCACAGAAGTCGGTGACACACGACACCCTCCGGCCTTGGCTTGTATAGAGCCTCTGACTGAGACAAGTGGTGTGGAGTGCCAGGATGGACCCAGTATAACTTTATCCTATTCAAAAATAATTGACTGTAAATCAAGATTTTTGAAAAATGAATTTGGTGACTATATACAATGTAAGGCCGAGTAAAAAAAATTACTAGATGATCGTCCTTTTTTTTGGAAAAATCGGGGAGGGCGGGAGGATTTTATTTTTATTTTTTTACTTTTTACCCTCTCATGCACACAGTGTACACAACAACATCAAGGTTTTTTTTTCTCTTTTTTTCTTTTTTTTTCTTTTTTTCTTTTTCTTTCTTCAGCAGATCGATACTGACGTTGTGATATACTAGTAGTATGTGGTCCATATAGTAAAGAAAGTATTAAACAAAGCGTGCACATGTTTCCTGCATCCGCGATCGGTAAAAAACCAACGATTTCGGCAAAAACTCACGATTTAAAAAATAAAATATTTCTTGGGGCGCTGACAAAAACTGGGGCGGACGGGGACGATCATCTAGCTTTTTTTTTTACTTGGCCTAATACTATAGAGTAAAGAGGGCTACAGTATTACTGTATACGCGATCACTGCGCAATAAAGTGTGCATGCTTTACTAGATGTAGCAAATGAAAATTAATTCGAAAAATTGATCACTATAGCCGCCAACCCTATAGGCAATACGCACTGTACTCGTGTGTTTGATTGTACGGGGTCATCATGCAACTGCAAGTAAAGGTGGATAAGCACACAGTCCTGGCTATACGTGTGCAGGAGGGAGGGGGTCATGAGGCCATGTGTGCATACTGGGGATTTCTCCCCAAGGAACTGTTTCCTTGGGGGGGGAGATACCAACACGAAGATTTACATGCACGTACCGTAGTGTACTTGATTTCCAAATCTATGCCTTTGTTCAGAAAATGCTTCTCAGTGAAGGCCTGGCTTTGGTCCACTGACAGAAACTAGCGATACGGGGTTGGGACGTGATGACGTCAGAAGTCAGTAGATGACGACGCTTGGGTCAATCCGATCTCCGCTCTGATCCTGGCGAAGTAGAGCGTCCAGTTGGCATGAACCTCATGTCACATGCTGGTGTGACTTGTATTTCGGTTAAACAGCAGCGGACCGGGGCCCTCTCGACCGGCCGGGAGGGCCATGCAGTGCAGAGACACTACCAGCAGGGGTGCGTTACCCTAGTATAAAGGAACTCACCAAGATGACATGTATGGATCCATACGATGTCGGCATTGTCACGACTGTGAGCACGCCGTGACGTAGCCCTTACAAGCCCTGTAGCGGTTACCGGTGTGCGAATGACGCAACGGTGGTGGAGGCGAGTCAGCAGATTCGCTTGCGGGTGCTAGCGGCATGCCCCATTTCTCCGCCGACACAAAGCACACAGCCTGAGAAGCAGGCAATTAGGCCGTGCTGAACGCCTAGAACATCGGTCCCTTTGGTTTTAACTTGGGTGCACTGTTGCCAGCGATGCGGTCCAGCAACATCTGAGTGGCCAGAAATATCGACTTGGTCAGCAGTCTTCTCTCCTCGCTCTCTACAGCCTTACTCATCACATACTCGCGTACCTCTTTCTCTGAGTGAGGCCTGCCGATTCCCACACGTACCCGAGCAAATTGCTGAAAGAAACACAACGACACACGCGTATGCAGCGACAAAGCCACACAAAAACACTCGCTGCATTCAAATGCACTCATCGCTATGGGTGGTGACAGTTGCTACGCATATTCACCGTGGTATGCAAAAACACCTAGAACGAAATCTTGTCGAAAGGCTCAGCTGCGCACTGGCAAATCCACGAGAACGTCTGGCAACAACGGCACTGTGGATAGGGCATGTTGTCAGACGCGTACCCACAAACACAATTCTTCATATACCTAATGTAGCTACCCTTTAGGAGCTGCCTCTGCGCCTTAGATCTTTGCAGGGTGGCGGCGTTCCTACGGATACTGAGAACTCAGTCTAACTGAGTCTCAAGTGAACCGGGAGTTTTCTAAATCTACCCACACAGCATACACCATGGTACACGGCAGCAGCAACAGCAGTGAGTGCGACAAAATTAAAATATTTCCCTGAAACCAGGAGACATCGAAACTACAAACAGCAGAGGAGAAGGATACAAGGTTTGACTTACATCACTTCCCAAAGAGGCCATGACAGATCGCAAACCATTGTGCCCTCTGGAAAACGAAAACAAGAATGGCCGGTAGGAATCAAACACCGCATTAATTAAAGCCAAACTGGTTTGCAGGTCCGTGGAGGTAAAGTGAGTGCACATGAGTGAGTGCACATGTGCGTGCATGTGCGAGTACATGTGCAAATATGAGAGAGAGTGAGAGAGAGAGAGAGAGAGAGAGAGAGAGAGAGAGAGAGAGAGAGAGAGAGAGAGAGAGAGAGTGAGTGAGAGAGAGAGTGAGTGAGTGAGAGAGAGAGAGAGAGAGAGAGAGAGTGAGTGAGTGAGAGAGAGAGAGTGAGTGAGTGAGAGAGAGAAGTGATTGAGAATGCCTAAGAACAATGGACCTTATGCCATTTGTACAGATCCACGAAATCCTGTAGAATCCCGTAGACCCGGTAGGGTGTTGAATGTGCAGGACCCTATTGTGTTTTCTGCTATTTCCACTAAGAAATGGGGCCTGGAGGCATTTCATACGAAAACCTGACAAAGATCTAGGTAGTCATTAGTTCTAACCAAAGTGAAGAAGCTGGAAAAGCGATTGCTGGTCATTTAAAGGGGAAGTCCGGTGAAAAATTTAAATTTCAGGGTTGGTAGAGTTTCGGGCGCTGAGTCGAATGGTGTTGGTCCCACGTGTCTCCGACAAAGCGTTCTCGAGATATTTCCGTTTGAAAAACTGAGTTTCGGGGGCTGCGCCATGACGTCATGCGGCCGCGCCACACCCTCTGCAACGTCATAGCGTGCAGCTAGGTCAAAAGGAGTGCGTGAAAGCAATAGTGTCAGTGCTATTTCAAATGATTTGGCGACTGATACTAGGTGGTGCAAGCGACCCCGAAGACCTGTAACTCCTTGTGAGAGTGAGGATGCAGCCATGGCTGACCTTCATGAGTTCGGTCTGGGGCTGAGAACCTCGGTATTCAGCTGAAGAAATGGCCGCGCGGGCCCGTCAAGAGTGAGCGTTACTGAGTTTCCGACTGATGAAGAAGCAGCAGCTATTGCAGACGAGGCTGATGAATTATCAGATCGCTGGAGAGCAGGGTCGCCAAAATGGAGAAGAGTGATGCGAGTGCTCTAAATGTTGTTCCATACCGATTAGATTCGCTTAGACTCCAGTGGCCTGCCTCATGGTGATGTTTTGGTGCGAACTTGGAATATTTCGGACTACTCATTTGGAGAACAGTGCAGGCTCTTTGAACCACGGGCACGACTCTTCGCTCGCAGAGTCGCAACGCTATGGAATCTGACAGTTCTACATGTAGGTCCGGGAGCTGTTCCCTGTTTTGTCACTTGTCACGGTTGTGCACTCATCGCTGTAGCATAAAATAATGAGGCGGGAGCGGAAAACTAAAATTTTCTTTCTCAAAGCACAACCACCGGCACCGGCAAGGAGAAACGCACGTTCTCTGACTACATGACTGTACAATACGACTGATACGAGTGTAGTACATGACAAGTCCGTGTGTTGACTAGTTTTCTGAGTCTTGTGTCAGTTGTGACTCGAGTCTTGTTGTAGATACTACCCCAGCACGGCAGTGCGGGAGTAGTTCCGTCTGTGATGAGTTTGTTGACTGCACCACAGCTAGATAACACACTGCACGCACTGCATGCACGCAGCGCACAGCGCGTAGAGGCTGACGGAAAAAGTCCAACTCGGAAACGGCTAAAATACGGTATAACCTCGAGGTTTACCGAGCTGAAAATCACAGGGTATGTAGTGTTTGTAACACTGAATCGAATGGTCTTGGTCCGAAGAAGCTGCGACAAACAGTTCCCCAATCGAACGCGCTCCGAATATGGCCATTTTTGTACACAACTAGATGGTGTGGCTACCTGGCTGCACGCTGTGACGTCATCACCTGGATCTGGGTGATGCGCGCTCAAATTCGCACATGTTCGATTGGGCGTATCTGACGAACCATAAGCCGCAGCCTCCTCGGACAAAGACCATTCGCCTCAGCGACTCGAACTCTACGGACTGTGAAATTTAAATTTTTCACCGGACTTCCCCTTTAATTATGACGCTAAAAAGGTCAAATGCGCATGCATAGCACACAATGAACACCCTACCGGGTCTACGGGATTCTACGGGATTTCGTGGATCTGTACAAATGGCATAAGGTCGATTGCACAACTAGGAAAACAACAGATAGCACACAAACATCGAGAAAGCAATGAAACTCACTCTGAGCCCCCACCGGCCTTCCACTGAACTTCCCCGGGTTCTAGCTCCATATCATCATATACAATAATGACTTCATATGGTGATAGAAGATGCTTATCAACTAGTGCAAATACATACCATATACACATGCATGTACGTACGCACGCGCACACACACACACACACGCACACGCACACACACACACACACACACACACACACACACACACAAGCGCACACACAAGCGCATGCATACACCCGCACACCCGCACGCACACATACACGCACGCATACCCACAGTAGCCAATACAGGGGGTAAAGATACAATCACGGTTGCAAGACTGGAAATGGCATGTTGCAGTGAACACGTGCAGGCTACATTGCTTATTTGGGAAAGATATCATGCCGAAAACACTCTGGAAAAAGAATTTTATGACTAGAGTACAGGCGATCATACCCCCAGAGTAGACAGCTCAAGTGACTGAATCTGACTGGATTGGCAGAATTCGTGGACTTTGTCATTCTAAAGCAGGATTCACAGAAGTTTTTTTGCGATGCGATGGGCGATGTGACACGATCTGCGACGGCGGCGTGCGATGCGAACTCGCAGCACTGCCCTTATAAATGATGTTTAACAGTACCGTAAAATCCCGCCAGAGCGCCCCATCTCTCCCATCTCTCCCATGACTTCTTGTCAGGGACGTGATTGATTGTATCCTCGTATGACTCTGTCGCAGTCTGTGATGCCGTACTGTACTGCAGACGCGTGCTGGACCCCGTTGGAAATGTACGCAACAGTGCCCACCCTCTTGACCAGGGATCGCACACACCCTGCATTTTGTCGGGTCTGTACGACTCCTGGCTCTTGACCTTTGGTCGGTGTAGATCTACGAGATGCACGAACAGTTTTCGTAGGGTGAGTACTTTTTCATGTAGCACTGAATGCGGCAAGTAGGACTCGCCCATCCGCCCCTCCCCACCTGAAGCGTCGAGGAGGTAGGGGCGCTCTGGCGGGATTTTACGGTACTGTCCAATCAATGAATGCTTACCAGCCTTCCTCAGGCTCTTTCCGCTTGCATTCATGGCCAGGTTCGACTTCAACAGCAAGATTTGGTCGCTGTTCGGCAGCTGTACAGTGGAGACCTGCGCGAGCAGTGGCCGATCCCTGATGAACCGGGTGCCTTTCAGCTCATGGGCCATGAATTTCGCCACGCGCATGCCAATGCTGTGTCTGGCTTGCATGAAGTCCACATTTCCCAGGCCCATGATCTGAACAGGAACACACAGGACAAAACACAGCAATGCACAATCATTAGATTATGTGTTCATACCTTGGAGGAAGCCATGAAATTCACCAAAGAAGTCAGTGTAGCGAGTGCCCCCCCCCCCCCCGGACAGGTACGCATGCGCGCGCACACGCGCACACACACACACACACACACACACACACACACACACACACACACACACACACACACGCATGCAATGTTCTACTAATCCAACCATTCGAGCATCCGTACATCACAGAGCACTGACCAACATACACACTGTGCAGTGCCTTCCATGCTCGTCAACAATGCACACCGACCAAACTGTCTGTCCTAATCCTATTTAGTATTTACATGTACCAGTTTTGATTTCATTCCGGCTGGTCATTATTAGGCGCACATACCAAGGGATGAGCAGTCTTGTGCTTACGTCAGTCAAGGACTTGGTCTTGAAACTCAATTCGGCTCAAACTTCACAGTGTCATTTAACTGAAATTTAACCCTTTACCGACGGCACATACTTTTATCGATCACCGGTGATCGATAAATTCTACACTTTTCAAATATTTTCAACTATCGTAACGTGGTAAATTCTCAGTTGTTTGGAGAGAACGAAATATGAAGGAAGAAGAGAAAACCCTCAGCTGTCGTCTCGAACAATTCCCGACGCGATGGGATGAACGGTGAATGAGTTACGACGTGCGCGCACGTAACTTTCGTCACGGTCAATTGGCGCTCAGGGCCGCGATGCGTGACTGAACGGCTGGGATTTTCCATGAACTCGTCGGCTGTTGGCAAGGGTACAATCATTCAAATTCAAACAGAGGTTCCGGGAATTTCCGCGAGTGCCTACAAAAAAATCAGCTTCATACTAGCAAGGAGAGTGAAATGGCGGATGGAAACCAATCTAGAGCGCGAGCCCCGCGCTGAAACGCCTTCGCTGGCTTGAAGCGCTGGTCAAGCGCATCTCGTGGACTCGAGTTTGGGCTCATCGTGTTCCTCTCGTCAGGGGCTTTCCAGGATGCCCAAGATAATGACAATTGTCCCATTGAAACTAAAGTTACGTCCAATTCAATGTAAAGAATTTGAGGGCACAATTCTCCATATACATTGAGTTCAGTCCATAAAGGGTTAAAGTTCATGCCAATCAGAGTGTTTAGTCCGCCCTTCTGCATCTGTTTCAGTGCAAAGCCATCCCCGCGTGCTCACTACCGATTTATCAGAGGGGGGGGGGGGGGGGGGGGAGGGGAGGGGGAGGGGAGGGGGAAGGCAAGGCCACCGCCGGTCCATATGCAACCTTTCCCCAGGGTAGCCCAGTGCTGCCAACCTTCTGTATTTTTCCATATTTGTACGGAAATTCACTACTTTGTCCGCAGTACGGAAATTGACCGAAATTGTACGGAAAACTGAGAAGTATGGATCAGCTGACTATGAACCAGTGTTTCTACATGTACATGTACATGACATGGTACTACATGTACTAGTATACTTCAAAAAAAAGAAGTACATACATGCAGAGTACATAAAACTGCGGAGTAGACCTACTATACAAGCTAAAAACAGTGTTCCTGACTGCAACCTCGACCCTCAGGAAGTGAGAAGGCTTTCACATGTCGCAAAAAATACATTACAAATCATGGGATTAAAAAAAATTGGTAGTACGGAAAAACCCTGGAAAATACGGAAATAATTCAGCAGTCCGAGTACGCAAATCAGACCGAGCAGGTTGGCAGCACTGGTTGGCAGGTAGCCACATAACTCAGGATTCCCTGAGGATTTGATCATCGTCCTTCCCCTCCCCCCCCCTGTCAGTATGTGGTAATGTATGCTCTGATTTTGAACGTTGCATTTTTTGAAAATCTGAGATGTGTTCTCAAAGTCAACATTGTCTGTAGCTGTGCAGATCATTGCAGGCTTTGACACAGAATTTAATTTCATAATGCGTGTCTGCTTTTCTCAGCAAGTTCATGCCAGGAGATCAGATGAAACTTACAATGTACTTATAGTCAATGCTCTGCACAACATTCACTGCTGAGGGGTCCACTTCTGTCGTCGAGTCATCGTGAACACTCCTCACTGACTGGAAGAGAGAATTCTTCTGCTGGCCAGCTCGACTTGAGAAGGGACTCAGAAAGGGCCTGAGCGAACAGCGGCGAATCATGTCGGACACTGAACTAGTCTACAATTTTACAGCAAGCAGGTTCGCACACAATAAAAATCCCACATCCATCGATCGAGCAGGCCAGGCCATGCATGCATATGCCATGGGGGCCAGGAAGAGTAACTTTTGAAATAATTATTTCCTTGAGCAGTTTTAATTTTCTGTGTGCCCGGGCGCGGGGCGCCGGGCGGGCGGGCCTCGGCCTCTCCGCATGCGCCAGCCTCCAGGGCAAGGGGACTGTCCCCGCAAGCTTCAGTCATGATCATGATTGTCATGACTGTTATGATGATCACGTGCATGCGTTGTCAATGTCCGTAGCTAAGGATACGACAGCACTTCGCATCATGGACAAAACAACTAAGTACTTCTCGCAAAAAAGTGCAAGCCAGAATGGAAGCCGAGACGCTCGGATCCAGGGAGCCCTGCTCGGATCGAGATGTCAAACAGAATGGAGCAGAGGAGTTGGAGAAAGCTGAAACGAAAGAGTGGTGAAGAGATGCTACAATAATAATTGTAGATGGGTACAAGTGCAATGTACAATCTTGATAGTCAGTATTTTGGACGACGCGCACCACAGAGGTCTTCTCTTGCATGGTCTACTCCATCATGTTGCACCGAATGAGACCATCCAGAGTTTGAGCACAGTCATACACTCCCCGTGAGTCATCGCGGGTTCTGTCCGAGTGCTGATGCGGGGAGCTGAAGGCCGATAGCAGCTAATGTCAACGTTTTCCTTCGAACTGGTCGTTCTTTCGGTGGAAGATCTTCTTCTCCAGTGCGTGTCTCCGGCTGTGCTGGTGAAGTTTCTCAGTTATCCTCACCTATCCATTCGACCAGTGATTCCCAGTCCGCTGCGTGGAGCAGATGATGCGGCTGTGCCAGGTCAGAAACTGCAAGCGCGGGACCATGCAGCTCAGAGGACAGCAAAGCCGACGATCCCATTCGATAGTGGAAAATCATGTCTGTTCAAAATGGCCGCTGGGCAGCTGCAAGAGAAACTGTCGAGCACGCCAGTGTACTGCGCACTCCTGGACGAATCCAGCGACCCGTGCACGCTGCTAGGAAGCTGCAACATTGACCTGGGCAGAGCCTGCTCGAGACTGCGCACAGGCAGTACTAGCAGTGGGTCGATTGCAGTGCAGGAACGATGCACACTGGCAAACGTGCTAGGCAGCCGACTGGGAACGATGACCGTCCGATATCGTATAGCGGAGATCTCGTTCTCGGTCGACTGCCATTTGGAGATAGCACAGGCAACGCCGCAATCGGCGTCTGCGCCAGCAGCGGCATCAGCATTGCCCAGAACCAGTAGACCTGTGCTGCGGCAACAGAATGCACTTAGTGACCCTGGTATACCGGGGAGTCTGGTCAATTCAGCTGCACAAGTTGACCCGTTACATGCGGCACACACAGGCTCAAGACAAGATGCACCGCTCCACACACCGCCACCCGACGGCAGCACCACTGACACCTCGTGCATCAGTACCAGTGCCAAAGCAACGGCGTATTCTGACCAGCACCAGCGGGGCTTGAATCACGCTGCTGCCGAGCCAGCACCACCCAGTAGCCCGTGTGAACAGGCCTCGCTGGACACGGCAACAGCAAAACAGGTATCCAGGTCTACTCGGACAGCGCAACACGACCAGTCACAGGTGGCCGATGAAGCCAGCACCAGCATCATGATGACCGAAGAAGTTGCAGGCATGGCAGCAAGTGCACCTGATGATTGTACCTCTACAAGCAACAGCCCAGCTGCAAGCACAGTCGCATCTCACAATCCACAGCAGCTGTCGCGTGGCCGCCAAGTGGGCGAGGAACAAGAGGAGCGATACGAAACGAACACCCTGTGTCCACCACCGATGATTTACACAGCACCACCACGGTCAGCAAAGCCGCAAAGCCAGCAGTATCAACCGAACATGCAAGAAAGCCAGACGAGTAGTCACTGTAGGGCAGAAAGCCGTGCACCCGACTCCTTTGCCACTGAACAATCTGAGCAAAACTGGCAGTTGCTGGCGAGAAGAATTGCGAACAACCACCCGATTAACACCCGGCTCACAGTCACGGAGGATGAAAGACACGATTCGAAGATGGAGCCTGAGCCTCATCTATCTGTCTTGATGCCACAGCCAATCCAGCCTGTCTCAGTGTCAGAAACTCAAGAGAGCAGCATTGTCGCACATCGCACTCATGCTCCTCTTAGTGCTGTCGCACTCATGGCCGATACGCCTACACCGTTACTGCAAGCTCTGCTTGGTGAGCTGGAAGCTGTGCTTGGCAGAAGTGACCTGCCCGCTGGAATCCCAGCACAAGTGCCTACAAACATAGGGCACTCCATGAAGCACAGCTCAGCTGTGCGGCATGCACCTGCGGGATCCACAGGACCGGCATGGTTTCGCCGGCCGGCAGGGAAAGACCGATCACAGCCTGATCGTGATGTGCCTTTGACAAACACAATCGCAGAAGAGCAGAATACCGCAGATCTTGCACAGGCTATTCTCAATCACTTGTTGGAAAACAAGCAGGAGAGATCGCCTGATTCAGCCGCTGAGAACGAGGCACCGGCACTCATCACGCCTGAGGTGCCGCCGGATGCACCTGGTGACCCGGTGACCCAGCGCCAAGAATCGTCCAGCAATAGCTCCTCTTCATCCCTGTCGAGTACTACGTTCATTCCAGTCGGCAGCACGCACAGCTCGCCTCGACATCCCATCATCAAGCACCTCAGCAGTCGCAGCAGGACAATGCCAAGCCTAACGACCGACCCAGACCCGGAGCAGAGCAGTCCAGAAGAGGTCAGTGCACGGCGCAAGAAGGTGCTGCGCAAACGCTCCAGTGGCAGGCTATCATCTATGCTGGCGCCAGCACTGGCCAAGGATGGGAAGGTGCAGGTAGCAAAGGCTACCATGGAGGCAACTACAGAGGACTCGGCTGATCTTTGCCATGCGCCCGTGAACAGGAAGCAGAGCCGCTCTGAACAGCAAGACATTCCGTCCGCAGTGCCGCCGGCATTGCGTAGCATTGCCAACGCCGACCTGACCAATGTGTCAGACAGCAGTACGTGTCTGCCTAAAGTGCTGGTGTTCCTGCCATCGCACACCGAGACAGGTGGCAGTGGAGCCAGTGGAGAAGGCAATGCTCGGAAGCCATCATCTTCACAACCAGCAACGGCAGCAGCGGGCAAGGATTCGCAAAGCCAAAGAAAGGCCAAGATGAAGCGTCGGAAGAGCTTGCTTGCCCAGTGGCCAATCATAGCCAGTGCAATGTCTGCCGACAGTGATATATCGGCAGTAATTGCCACCAAAAAACCACCGCGGTCTCCTCTAGGTGATGATGCTAGCGCGAAGCCCGCCGAACTAAATACGGACGCCGCTAGTTGCAAGTCCAGCCATGGCACACATACTTCAAGCATGTCTGATCTTGCTACCAGCGAGCTGTCCTCGATGCAAGCAAACACGGATGGGAGAAGGGTCTCCTCGCCAAGAAAAAGTGGACGACTTAGCCAGCCGCACATCGAATCCGGTCTCCGGGGGCAGTCCGACCACTTGGACTCCGAACAAGGCAAGAGTGCTCACCGTGCAACACACAACACTGGGAGCTCAGATGCTGAAATCAGCTCCCTGCCACTCTCTTCCAGGCAGGCATCAAGGGCATCTTCCCCAAGGAAATCCGGCAGCGATTCATTCGCTGCATCGAACACGCGCTACACAGATGACGCATTCGAGGATGGCGCGGACACATCTGAGGACACCGCTAGGCGCACAGCGATCACCAGTAACCATGGTAACAGCAGTCGTTCATCATCGGCTGGCTCGTGTAGATCCCCGCCCCAGCCTGTTCAGATTATGACTGTAGATGCTTTGGAGCAGGCCTGCTCTAGTCCTGACCAACGTCGAACTAGCGTGCAGCAACAGTACTCAACAAGCTATGACGTGGACACTGATGACATAATTTTCACCGAGTCGGATGAAGACTAGCTCCACTGTTATCACTAACAACCAGTTGATTGAAGGGATTTAGTCGGGATCAATAGAGGGGGCTAGACTGACAACAACTTGGCTATGGGGATGCGCAGTCTACTTCAAAGTAGATTTGTATCATGCACTCATGAGAGAACATTGAGCCTATGAATGAGTGACGGCGAACGAACGCCATTCACGCTCATTTGTTCATTTCGAGAAGAAGATTTTCCTGTTCTTCTTCCTGTCCCATTGCTCGAGAATACCTTCAAAAAACGATACAAACCCAGTATAGAAAATGGTCCACGTGTGCACAGTTGTGATCAGGGAGCACACATGCTTCACACAGTTGTGATCAGGGAGCACACATGCTTCACACAGTTGTGATCAGGGAGCACACATGCTTCACACAGTTGTGATCAGGGAGCACACATGCTTCACACAGTTGTGATCAGGGAGCACACATGCTTCACTCTAACACATACAGTAAAACCTGTAACTAAAGACCACCGTGACCAGCGACGTGCCTGGTACTAAAGACCACCGTGACCAGCGACCTGCCTGGTACTAAAGACCACTTGGCGAATTCGCCAGGCACGGGCGGTCTCACTTCATATATGGTAGTGAGGTCCAAACCTCTAACTAAAGACCGCTTTTTCTGGCCCAAGGGGTGGTCGTCAGTCACAGGTTATACAGTACAGTGAAATCGAAGTAGCCTGGATTGACTCTACACATTGCCTTTCTCTTTGCATTTGGATAATACAAGACTATTTTTCTTTCGACCACACTGCATATCCCTTACTAGATACTGACTTGCCTTTAGTTTAGTCATTCGACCCCAGAGTACATGTACTTCAGTTATAAAGTGGGGATGTGTACGTCCCGTGGAGGTACGCTATACCGAAGTTTCAAAATAGGCTGGTGTGTGGTTTTTGAAGGAGGGCAAAGCAAACCAAAAAGAGCTACACGCCCAGATTGACTTCTGTGACGTCATGTCCTATTAGAAATACCCAGCATATTGATTCCACGTGTATCAAGAGTCCATATGGACTCTTGCTCGTACATGCAGGAGAGACAAGTATCCTGCGTCACATAGACAACGAACGGATCACGTAGAACTTCCAAATCCTGGGGGCAAAACTCACATCGTTTCAGGTACTAAGGTCTCGTGTTATCTCTCTCTCTCTCTCTCTCTCTCTCTCTCTCTCTCTCTCTCTCTCTCTCTCTCTCTCTCTCTCTCTCTCTCTCTCTCTCTCTCTCTCTCTCTCTCTCTCTCTCTCACACACACACACACACACACACACACACACACACACACACACACACACACACACACACACACACACAAACAAATGATTGGGCAGGAAAGAGCTGCTTCTTTCCAATTCCAGATTTCCAAAGTGATTCGCAGCAGTCACTACATGACTACATCCAGCTAAAGTTCTGTCCAAAACAAGAAGCCGGAGACAAAATTTAAAACCAGCCTAACACTAAAATGGGCTAAAAATAAAGATGGACGCAAGAATAAGCTTGCAGGACAGGACAGTAGAACAAGAAACAACAAAAGAGGGAAACGAGAAAGGCGCAACAAAGGAGGAGGGACAGAGAGACCAGTAAACAAAGAGAACAAAGGGAACACCAACAATAACGTTAGTTCTCCGTATCCAAATCAAAGATAAAGTCAATAGTGGCATGTGGCAGCCAGGCTCTCTAGATACACACTGTTGTACATTGTAGTAACAGAAAGGCAACGCGGGGAATTACGTGTGTCAAGTGAAAGAGCTACGGCCAGTCGGTTTTTTTGCAGGACGGGAATCGGTTAGGTTTCGTGAATTCAAAACGGGTCGGAAAATATTCGGCGTGTAGGTGCATAGATCGGGTATAGTCCCTGGCCAGTGCCCGTGCCTGTGGTGTGCAGCACAACACGCTCTGATGACGAAACTGGGCAAGGCCAGAGCCAGTCACACAAACACACATGCCGGCGGTAACATGCAGGGGGTAAGGGAAAGGCTCGCGACGGCTCCTACTGACAAATACATGATGCCATCTAAAGTGCTGGTACGCACGGCATTGCTGAAGCGGCGCATGTCCAGCGGGGAGGCAGAACTGCGTGGGCTCGCTTGAACTCATTCCATGCGCTACCATGCAGAATTTCCGAGCTGCTGCTGATGCCGCTGCTGCCGAATACGAGCAGCGGATGAGCATGACGGGGGCGTCATGCAGTACAGACACAGTGCCACCAACCTGCCCACCAGACAGCCATTTAACTGCCATGCATCGTCACTCACTAATCAATAACGGACGCCGGGTACGGCCAGAGCAGCACGAGATACAGCACTAGGACAGCACGCGACCAAGGCTGGCTGGCTGTGACGTCCAGAAGGAAGACACAATGCGGCGAAGACTGTGCAATTTCAGAACTCGACACGGCAAGGCAGGCAGCCTGAACGACCGTGGCCTCACTCACTCCGCCACTGCCTCATAGAAGAGAATATAACCGGATTCCTGTCGTTTGGTGTCGGCCACACTGCCAAAAAACAACTCTAAGCTCCTCGCATCAATATGCTGCAGCGAACGAAAACAGAGAAGAGAAGGCATCATACAAAATGGTCAATAATGCCTTTGTCTTTTCAATGGCAGCTACATTTGCTGCAGTACACAGGTAGGATGGGCATCACTATCATTTACTGGACTGTTGTTCAACTGTAATGCTGTACCAGGTACACTTAGGCATGGTCTGGCGACAAATAGCCAGCGTGACAGTCTTAGTTTCAAACTCACATCAACGACGTCATCGTCGAACAAGTACCATGTGTTGCCTTGGGTTCGGGCAACGGTGATGTAGTGACCTCTGTTGGGGCCACTGCAGTTGGCAAAACACACAAACAAACACATTAGATATGAGGGCAAACGACCAGGGTAGGTGAACAGAATTTTAGGCACAGAGAAGCAGTTCCCTTCAAATTCGTAGGTTAGAAATAACACGAGACCTGGTGGATTAACGTGCTAAGACATACTCAGATGGCAGAAAAGTGATACATTACAGCGCTGTTGTGAAGGTAATCCAACCTACCCGTACTCACTCGATTAGAAGCCGGGGGCTTCTATTTTTTTAATACCAATTTTGACGAGGCTTCTATTCAAGAGGGGCTTCTATTCGAGAGGGGCTTCTATTCGAGAGGGGCTTTATTGTTTCATTCTATACCAGAATTCCAATCGAATCTCTAAAACTCCCTTATCCACAGCAACTCGGCCCCGAGTTAGTTGGCACACACTACGTCGACCAGGACATCTACCAATATGTGCACGCACGAGATGTTGTTGCACACTTGACCGTAACATACACGGCACTACCTGGTCACCCCATGCTTCGCGAATGGTAGTCCGGGCTTCTATTCGAGAGGGGCTTGCATTTTTCAAACAGGGGGCTATTATTCAAGAGGGGCTTCTAATCGAGTGAGTACGGTATATCAGCAGTAATGGGGTGATGACAAGGAGAGCTATCACACTATGGAGAATAACAACAGCTTTGGAAGACACGCATGTTTTCGAAGTTCATCACGGGCGAATGTGGACACTAGGGGATAATTCGTCTGCTCGTTGAATCGGTATTCGAGCGAATGATCATCCGTGGAAATCATGGTTTGCTACATGATGACATCACTAGCGAGCAATGAGCACAGAAAATACTTCAAATGGTATCAATCTTGGCTCAGTGAGCCCAACTGAAGAGAAACATGGTTCATATTTAGCACTACACGTAGTCATATTCGTAATACGCCATAGTGTACTTCAGAGTAAGGGACGATTCTGACATATGGGCGCCCATTGGTTGCAAAGCACCCCGATATGAGATGTTCTACCGAATGGCACTATTCGACGATATTGTCTAGTACAGAAAACCGTGTGTGCAACTGCATGCTACAAAACTGCATGCTACAATCCAGGACGGGTTTCAGCCCCACATGACACACACATCAAGTTGGCTGATAACCCAAACCCCAGACTGCGCATTCGGGTTTAGGTAGAAGTGCCACGAAACCTGCTCACTGGTATGAATCGCACATGGAATACGCGTAGGATTCCCGACGATAATAATTCAAAGCTTCCAATTTGCGTACAAATGCTCAACGTCTACTGTACACTGTACACTGTACTGGGCAATTCAGAGTGCACGGAATCCATGTCTGCACGATGTGTGCATGATGTGTGCATGATGTGTGCATGATGTCTGCATGATGTGTGCAACTGCATGATGTGTGCAACTGCATGCTACAATCTAAGCATTCTGGCACACTTCTATGATGTTGTAGGTGCCAAATTGGACAATTACTGCCATGGACCTGTGTAACTATTTCCTGCTGTGGTTATGCAGGTTTCCATATTCCACGATACGGAGAGATGGACCGACAAGAAAGAAAGCAGAGAGACATGGGAGAGAGAGAGAGAGGGATGGAGAGACTATTATCTAAAAAGAAAGCCAGAACCAATTAGAATATTCGGCACATTTCACTCTTGCGATGACAGCCGACGGCACACGACACACTTGTGATCATGGCATAAAGAAAGACATGGCATACAAAACTGAAGACTCACGTTCCACAGTGGATGACGACCGCCATGAGCTGATAGAGTCTTTCCGCTTGCTCAGCATCATGTGCCTGAACAGAGACAACAAGAACAACCAGGTATATTTTAAACAGTAAAAGAATTGTAAAAGAATGGCAGCATACTAGTATGTACGGTTTTTGGATGGAACAAAGATTGACGGTTACCAATACTAATACAGAAGAAGCTAAATATTTAAGACAGCTTGCAGCGACACACCGAATGCAGGTACAATTGTACATCACACCTTACCGTATTGAACACCCGAAGTTCACACGGGAACGCCACACGATAGTTGAGCTTGGTGAAGCGCCCCAGCTGCTCATGGTACTTGAACCGCTTGAGATGCAGCACTAGCACAGGTGGCAGCTTTTTGATTAACATCCTGCAAGAACATAATGGCACAGCGTACAAGTGAGTAAGCGAGTGAATGTGTGGGTGTGTGGGTGCATGTGTGCGTGTGTGTGCGCGTGTGCGCATGCGTGCGCGTGTGCGCATGCGTGCGTGTGTGTGTGTGTGTGTGCGTGTGTGTGTGTGTGTGTGAGCATGTGTGTGTGTGTGTGAAAGAGGGGGGGGGGGAGAGAGAGAGAGAGAGAGCGAGAGAGAGAGAGAGAGAGAGAGAGAGAGAGAGAGAGAGAGAGAGAGAGAGAGAGAGAGAGAGAGAGAGAGAGAGAGAGAGAGAGAGAGAGAGAGAGAGAGAGAGAGAGAGACAGTGCAGTCCTACAGTGTTGCACATCTCTGACAATTCAACCGGCTACTTGTGAGTTTGCTGACCACTGTATCAGTGACAGCTTGGACAGTGAGGGTACAATGAACATAGTATGAGGTCGTCTATACACTCTCAAGCTGAATAATATGTGACCATGTGATCACCTGAGAAATCACGTAATGGTATCTGCACAGCCATACAAACAGTTTCATGTCTGCGAACCCAGGCTCCAAAGCAAGCATGGGTGCATGAGCTTACACTCTCTTCCCCTGCAATTAGAATGTTGCCTACTCTTTTCGTCGCAAAGTGTTACCGTAAAAGTACGTAAATAAGTACCTGCCCGAAAGAAATACCCCCTTCATTCTTTTGGCTCTGTCTGTTGAAGTCAAGTCAAGCCCGATAAACATACTGCCCGAAATAAGTACTGGTACGGTGCGCACATGCAGCACGTAGCATGTACATCGACATGAAAATGACTTCTCCACTACACACAAGTCAGGTCCGAAAGTTAGTTCGTGCCCGAAAGTCAGTACCCGCCCGAAAGTTAGTACGGGTGTGGTCACTAAATTCGAAAGTAAATACGTACTTATTTACGGACTTTTACGGTAGTGTCACAATCATTAAGGTGTTTCAAAACAGAGCATTGTGCCTACAGTGCCATGGGTGGTTAATTCAGCGTATACAGTGCCACCGGAATGACAATCATGCACTGTAAACTAGGCAACTAGGAAGACTGACCTGTGTGTGTATGTGTGTGTGTGTGTGTGTGCGTGCGCGCGCGTGTGTGTTTGTGATACAGTGGAACATACATGTCTCGTCTTAAATCTGAGAAGAAAAGTACACATATCCAGTTAGTAGCTATGTGCATACCTTTTCTGGGCTTCCTGCTTGCTCCGACAGGTGTCACAATAGTACTTATACTCTGAGCTAAGCGTCTCCGTCAGTGAAAACCCACTGAGAACACAGGCAGAAAAGGAGAAAGGGAGATGATGTACAAATGGAGATTAAAATTGTGACAAAAGAGGCTTCACATTTAATATTCAGTGGAAAAATTGGCAACTAAATGACTACTATGCAGACAAGTAGAAAGGAATGGGGACGCATGGATAGGAGTTGAGCAACTCTCGACCATTGTAACTACAGTCCAATCAGCAGAAGATGAGCGCTGGCTCTGGAGAGCTCCAGTATTTGGCGATTTTGTGGTGTACTGTGCAGTGCCGCGAGATTCGAAACTTGAAAAAGGGTCCAAAAATGGTAGCTCAACTGGGGTTCGAACCACAAATGTACTGCTCTGCAAGTGGAGTGAACAGCCTGGATTTTCATGGTTTTTCCCCAATTCAGTGCTTTGGGGGCAAAACCTGGCCGAAATCCTATTCTTGTTATGGCTTGCTCTTTGGAGAAATAGACTTCAAAAACACAATTAGAAGAGCATTCCATGGGGGATTGCCAAAAAAATTGTGACGAAAACTCAAAATTTGACCCGTTTATGGGCAAAAGCTAGGATATCACCTTTTTCTGAATAGACTGTAGATATAAATATACCGTCACTACTAAGTCTTATTAATATTGGCTCAGTATCTGAGTGTAAAAATTAGATCGGTTTGTGAGTAAGTGAGGTGGGGTGGGGGATTTACGGGCATGTTGTTACATGTACCGGATAATGGCCAATATGCAGCCAGATAGAAGTTCACTGTTTCCTGTGTTTTCTGATGATCGCTTTAATAGTGCGTGAAACTCGGAGTGAAAGCACTTTTGTCATCCTCTTATTATTGTTAGAAATTCACTAACTAGTAACAACTCAGAACGGTCCACGATTACATTCCCTTCTTCACGAAACACCTGACCTTACACTACAGCTTACCGCAGACACGCCGAAATACTAGTGTTATCCAAGATGTCCACGGACAAGTCAAGAAAAGACTCGTCCTTGTACTTGACCTAGTTATGGACATACACGTGCATAGGAACACCCACATGGGCATGTGCACGTGCACACACACACACACACACACACACACACACACACACACACACACACACACACACAAACACACAAACACACACACACATGTCAATACAGTTCAAAACAGCACAATAATAAAAGTCATGAACTTGTCACAAAATAACTACAGTAAAACCTGTAACGAACGACCACCCCTTGGTGCCCGGAAAAGTGGTCTTTAGTGGCAGGTGGTCTTTAGTTAGAGGTTTGCACCGCGCGACCATATATGGATCCCAATATATGATATGTATGTCAAAATGCAGATAATACAATCCCCCGCCACTTGCACACTGACATTCTTCTTTCAGATCATACAACACTTGGAGAGAGAGAAAATCAAGTTTTTTATACACCGGAAGCGATACGACCTTTTGACCCGTATGTCGACTCACTGGGTTTCCAGAGCAGCGCTGGCCTGGCCAGGCAGTGGACTAGTCACTATCGACTCCATCCTCATCTGTGTGCGACTACACTTTGTACTGGTATCAGTGTGTAGATCTACACTACAGTGGAAACTCAGTCGCTCTGACTTACTTGGATGTAGTGCAGTGTAGCGTAAACTGTACTGGTGTGTACCAGTACGTGATGCGGCGATGTTGCGAGTTTTCGCACCTTCACTGTAGACTATTATCCGCCATCGTATCCTGGCCTGTGTTCCGTACAGGTGAGTACATGTACCGTAGCATGCTAGCTAGCCAGTACAGACTGTCAGTGTCACCTGGTGACTGAGCTGGGTGATTGCACTTCGACAGAGAGCCGCTCAGTCTTAGTTTCTCCTTCGAGTAGTAACATCGATCAAAGAGCGCTTTGGATGCGCTCTCCAAGACGTTTCCTATCATGTTATTGTTTGTTCTTGACAGCACTTGAAATTATGACAGGTGTAGTGCAGTCCACACTGATTCCACAGTAAAAATGAGACTGCGTTCATTTGTCCAGCTGTAGTATCGAAACGACCATGGAAAATCATCAAAATTTCGAGAAGGAGCTTCGAGCAATGTTTGATTTGCTACATCGCGGTCGCTAGTTACGGGTCAAAATTCGACATTGGGACAAGAAAAGGTGGTCGCTGGTCGCGTTCAGCAGGTAGTCGCTAGTCACAGTGCATTTTGCATGTGAGACCGTCCGTGCCTGACGAAGTGGTCGGTAGTACCAGGCCGGTCGCTAGTCACGGTGGTCATTAGTTACAGGTTTTACTGTAGTTGCATGAGCTGAGAATTTACCGAGATCAACCGACACCAACGACTGACGAACACCAATGGGTGGGGTGCTTTGCGTACTAAACATTTCAACTTACCATTTCACAAGTCATGCACTTCGTCTCGTTGGTAAGGGTACCTTGAAAGATCTCATGCACCCAGTTGACTTCGGAGCCTGCACCACAGCTTGGGTCCTCTTCTAGGCGAGCTTTCTTCTCTCCTATGGAGGAGAGGGAGCAAAGGAAAAGAAGTCACTGGACACTTACAGTACATCTATACTCAGAAGACACATATAGTCTTGATCCAGCGGGAAAGCAGGTACCTGGGCTGATACTATATACTCAGAAGACACATATAGTCTTGATCCAGCGGGAAAGCAGTAACCTGGGCTGATACTATATACTCAGAAGACACATATAGTCTTGATCCAGCGGGAAAGCAGGTACCTGGGCTGATACTATATACTCAGAAGACACATATAGTCTTGATCCAGCGGGAAAGCAGTAACCTGGGCTGATACTATATACTCAGAAGACACATATAGTCTTGATCCAGCGGGAAAGCAGGTACCTGGGCTGATACTATATACTCAGAAGACACATATAGTCTTGATCCAGCGGGAAAGCAGGTACCTGGGCTGATACTGTATACTCAGAAGACACATATAGTCCCGATCCAGCGGGAAAGCAGTAACCTGGGCTGGTGCTAGTATCTTGTTCAAAGCCCTCCCAGTACAATAACACCCATGCACATGCTTTCCACTAGCTAATGAGAAGAGTGACACACACGTGTGCACACATACACACACACACACACACACACACACACACTTGTACTTGCTCACTGCCATAACTGGTCACGTGGGTCCTCCCTTGGGAGAGGGAAGGGAGACTCAAAAGGAATCTTGGAAAGAGGGCTCAGTTGGCTATTGAACCGCCCAGCGGCCGACACCCCCTGAAATCCCCAAACTATGGGTGGACTTGGAAATGATCCCACTTATGGGCTCACTACACCTCAGTAAGTGGGTGAGGACAAGGTGCAGAAAAAGGATTGACGGCGTCAGGGTGTCCGTCCCAGGATCCAACTGCAGTTACCCCTGCCCCCGGTGAAGGTGATACTTGCTACTAGTATGGGTGGCTAAATCAGAGTGGATCTGATATAGGCTTCACTAGCACCATTGATTACACAAGAGTTAATCTAGCCAGAAGTAGTCCATGGTTAACAGGTATGTATACTTCAAATTGAAAGCATGAACCCTGAAACCAACAAAGGTGGCAGGTACGACATCACACCTTCAACTTCAAGCAGCCGAGCCCGTTGGCAGTAGACCCAACACTATCTGGCATAAGTGTACCCACCAACCGAACACACACATACACACACAGGTGGGCAACGATACATACAAATGCATGCATGTCACGGTACCTACAAAATAACACCACCCACAAACACCCTGAGTGCATCCTAGCTGAAGCTCTCGCCACATTCAAAGATGTCAACAGTTGTCAAAGCACTACGATGTGACGTTTACATTTTAACTAATGCACACCATTAGAGAAGAAGCGTAAACAAATTTTGTAATAAGATCTTGAGAGTCTGGGTTCGAGTAACGAAAGTTCATGCAAACTTTCGTCACAACTCGCCCCGGAACTTGCCTGGCAGCACACCAGTAACTTGTTTTCGGAAAAGGTTCAGAAGTCGAAGCCTTGCACCCCATGCACTCTACTGAACATGAGTTTTACAGAAAACTCTTCAATATTAACAGTTTCTCACTCTGTGAAGCTTCGCAAGCAAACGTGTTACTCAGTCTTTCGCTGCTCATTTATCACAAGGACTTTTTCACTCTGCGCAACCCTCCTTTACTTTGGTAATGTCCCGTGTGACAAGGATGTAGTCAAGTAAGTCAACACATGTCATGTGCATGCTCTAACCTTCAAGTAGATCCGCAAAGGTATTGATCAAGTAGTTGAACAACTCCTGTGCATCTTGCTGTGTATAACTCTCAAATTGCACTGCGAAAAACAACAATGCACGCAAACGCACACAAACAACAACAACAACAACAACAACAACAACAACAACAACAACAACAGCAACAGCAACAGCAACAGCAACAGCAACAGCAACAGCAACAGCAACAACAACAACAACAACAACAACAACAACAACAACAACAACAACAACAACAACAACAGCAACAGCAACAGCAACAGCAACAGCAACACAGGAATGGATTCGTGCTGACACAATTGCTGCATGCACGCCTGCCATGATTCACAGCAGAAAAGGCTAACCCTACAGAGCTAAAGGAAGTACCGGAATTCAGGGAAATCGTCCGTTTCCCATTTTCACTCACAAAATCGGGGAAGGTTTTGCACAATCTTCTTCGACTTGTGTTGGGATTAAAATTTTGTGAACTAAAAAACCCGCTACTGTGTATCATAAAGTACCAATGAAGTTCCACTATATCTATCAGGGCAGGTTTGGGCCAGGCTTTGGCATAGCAATGTATAGAAAAATGGTATCCTTGTGGTTGCGCTACATGGTTCAAGTGTCCAAATATTATCAGAGGCTATCCACTTAGATTAATACATGGTCCATTTGATCTGGTCACATACTGTCTGGTAAGCAAATAAATACATACAACCAGGAGAGAGGAAAACATGCATATGGCTAGGAAAACATACCATTTTCTTTTCTGAGCTTGGCAATGAATTTCTTCGGCGTCACCACACTGTTCTTTCGGCGGTTGGTGTGAATGCACGTAAAGACTTCCGCCAGGCATGTCAGCAATGTATCCGCACGGCTCGGTGGCTTGTACGCCAGCACACGTTCCCGAAACGGTCGACAGAAGTAGAGCGCCTGGATGATCGAGTTGCAGTAGCACGTGTTGCCGAACTACATGGACGTAAGAAAAAATATCAGAATGAAGGAAAGATAACCGCTATACTCTACACATTTCGCAGAGCTGAATGTGTTGCTGATGATGATCTGCAAATGTGAACACATGATCATGATGTACTGGTAGTCTGGTACATGTATTGTAATGCTATGCAGTCGAATTTTAAACACGCTTCTCCCGTGTGGTCAATTAAAAGTCAAAGTCGATTGTTAGTGGTAGTCGACTACATGTATTTGCACCATTGCACAGTAGAACACCTACATTGTACAGTCCAAACAGTCGATCTGATGTTGTCCCATCCACGGGATGTTCTGCGTTCGAGCTGGTGCCGTTCCCCTACGGTCAATATCAGAAAACAAACAGAGAAAACGAACTTGGAAAAATTCGCCCATCGCTGTGTTCATAGAAGCCAAGCAGTACTACCATCGTGATTCTCTTAGCTGATTGGAGACAATCTGAAAAAATATCCAGTCACACCATGTCTTTTCGGATGTTATGTGCGACAGCTAGCTGTGGACACTCGATACGACTAAACAGAGATGTCTTCCAATTGCAATTTCGAAATTTCAACCAATTTCAAACAAAATGTCACACGCACAAGTATGTAAGTCACAACTTTCTAAAGAGCTTGCTTCTTTTGTGCAGAGCACGGAGGAGAGTTTTACAGCCAACGTTCGTCCACAATGACCACATTGGTGAGACAAGGCCCAGTGTCAGTGACAATAGCAAGACTAGGCGAAGAGCCTTGCAAGAGTGGTCAATTTTGTTGTGGGTGCTACTACAAGAATGACTTTGAAAGTGGCATCATCGTTCGTCATCATGAGGCCCCAATGACATCATGCTTCGTATACAGACTACAAAAATAAATAATTTTAATTGTAGACTGCCGACAGTGCTAGTGCCGACTGCACTAGCTGCACTGCAGTGGCTGACGAGATCTCGAGACTGCACAATAGTCAATAGTCAATACAATGATTATGTGCAGTGTGCATGGTGTGTGTACAGTTGGGTTATCTGGCCTGGTTATATTATGGACTCTTGTCTTGATGCAGTCCTAATTTTTGCAGATCAAGCTTCTTTGACTTTTAATTTTATTTGGATGTGGAAAAAAAACAAAGCAGAAGACTAGAGTAGAGCTAGAGGTCTGTTCCAGGCTAGGGTATGAAACCCTCTTGCAGTTCTACTTCTGTATTACCAAGACTTGGCAAGAGTACATAACCCTACTCTTGGGTACCGTCAGGCTACATAATCATTGTACATGTAGTTCTCTGGCATCAAGAGTACATACTCTTGCTGGCATGCATAGACTCCAGACAACATGATGCATGTACATGTATTTGGGGGTTATGTGCTCTTGCCCATACAAATTATTATATCTGGGCTTTCTGCATGCCAGAGCACAATAATTATTATTATCATCACTGTACACGTGTAGACAATACTACACTGTAAAGCGACAAACTTTCGCGGCGTGCAAATTTAGCGTTTCCTTAAACCGGGCCGGTTGACGATGAGAAACGTTTGCGATTCTATCCCTTCAGTCGGATCTTGTACTGTCTACAATCAATGTACGGAGAGGTTTGCGGCGATTTGTATTCGCGAATGTGTGATGGTCGCGAAGATAGCGAAATTTAATCTCTAGCGAAAGTTTCTCACTTTACAGCAAGTCCTGGCTTTACGCCCTGACAAACCCTGCACTGCGGTGCAGCCTGGTGGTCTCTGAAAACAAGGGTACTACATGTACCAGGATTACATACCCCCCCCCCCCTTCTATACTGTAACCGGACAACCACACCTACGGAGCAGGCGGCGGATGAAACCAGGTCTCTGTATCTTGAATAGTCGTTACGTGCATTATCAAGCGCAAATCTTGGTGTTGGGGGTAGAAAACTGCTTACTTGCGGCTAGCTGGCATCTTGCAGGCCCTTGTTTGTAAGTCCAGGGCAGAGTGACAGGTTTTAACAACAGTGAACAAACTGAAAACCCTCAACACTATACTAGCAGGGGGTAATGCAACGGTGAACTTTTTTCTTTTTGCACTGAAAGCCAAAAATCAGATTTCATTACATTCATTAGATGTCCAGGCTGCCACAAGACAAAGAATCACAGATTCCACCAACAACAAAGACGACGAGAACAACAACAAACCACCACCACCACCAAAAACAAACAGCATCGTACCAAGCACCGAGTGGGCATAGCAAAATATTTAGAGGCCAATACAGGTAACAACATGGGCAACATTAGGAAACATTATAATGAAACACCCACACATGGTCACACGGACTAAAGTAAGAATCAGCTAAAAACGGGAGAAAGCATGAAAAAGAGCAGTCCATGTGATGTGGAAGGTACATACATGTTCATTATGTTAGGATACTGACCGGCACAGGGCAAAGCCTGCAGTGAAAAAAAAAGACTACCGATATATAAAAACAACCTGTACAGCCTGCATGGGTGAAAAGAAACGGAGAGAGCAGTAGTTCTCACAGGCAACACGGCCACAGAGTGCGTGCGGAATGCGCAGTCGAGCCCGCCAGAGTGCCCGCTATCGACGGGATCCCATGCCAGTTCTCCCCAGCGCTGCTACACATACACGGGACATGTATGTACATGTATGTACATGGTGCATACAGTGGTGACACCGTACTAAACAAAGCAACAGCAGAGCATCCGGGAGCTGCACTGGGCGTACAGCATGAGCACACAACTAATTCTGTAGCACACAAATCTCACGCCATTAAGAGTGGGTGTCCTCCATGTGCAGAAACGGAAGATGATCTCATCAAGCCTCTTCTTCCTTTTCCTCCTCGTCGTCGTCTTCCTCTTCACTATCCTCCTCCTCATCATCATCGTCACTTTCAAACGTGTTCTGCGGGATGCTGTAGATACGCATGACCGGCTTGTTAGGGTCCTTGACGATCAGGTACTGCAGAAATAACACAAACAAGCACATTTGGAGTACATTAGCTGAACTGTAGACGTGTCCAGTAAGAAGCATTAATCCAAAAGGACATCTTATCATCAAGAAACTAAAGCCACTAAAGCACAAAAGTTACTTTGGTGATGTTCATAGCTGCAGCAGCAACCCCAAAGCAACCAAATCCAGTGAAGGTTCAGATCGTGTAGACCCAGAGGGAAAACTAGTAGTTTTATTTATTTTGTTGTGCTGCGCTGATAAGTCCACATAGGACGAAACAGTTCTGTAAGCCGAGTGAGTATTACAAAAGCACATTTTTTTACGTGCACTGCACAGACATATAGACTGATCGTGGAAGTGGTTGTGTCCACAAGCACACGCACCCACACTCGTGAATTAACACCGACACAGCAACCATCAAGCAAATAGCCCCTACACCACACAAAAGCAAACACAGTCCAGAGCTGGGATTCTTACCTTGCCACTCTGCATACCCATGAGAGCGTCGATGATGACTCGCAGCACACCCCAGCAGTTGGACATGTCCAGGGTGATCTGAGCAGCGAACTCATTTGGGTTGAACTGCTGTGTGCCAAGGATGGCATGCTTGGAGGAATCACGCGGGCTGACACGGGACACATAGCCAAACTTGATGATGTCCGAGCCGGCGAGCAGTGCGGACAGCGTCCACTTGGCAAGCTTGCACGAGTTGTTCTTCAGCTCAGTTGCAAGGACAGCACCGCGCTGGTTGTCCAGCTTCTGGCGCCAGTCAACACCGGCCACCTTGGGATCCCATTCGTTGAGTGTCTTGATGCTCATGTACTGCAGCTCACCACCGGGTTTCGTTGTAGACACAGCATCGTGCTCACAGCGGGCTACCAGCGTAATGTCCTCTCCAAGATTCCACTTCCTGTAGCGATACCCGACCGAAGCAACCTCTCCCTCGTCATCTTCCGTGACAAACGGATTCGATTCGGCAAACTGGTGACGTTCACTGCCACGCTTAAGCACTTGCTGCGAGAAGTTCTGGTTGATGAAGGTAGCCTCCAGAGCAAGGTTGGCCGGTGCATTGATACTGGCACCTTCATCTTGTGGAGGTTCCGTGGCAGTTTCTGAAACACTGAGAAGATCGAACTGCGAGTTGTCACGCTTGTCCAAGAAGAGCTTGTTGCCAACACGCTGAGCAATGATATCCCAACTGTACACGGAGCGTGAACAACTCATCAAACATGCTAGGATGGCATCCGTAGCGAACACATTTCCTTCGCTGCTTAACTTCCTTATAACAGGGTCATCAGTGGAGGTGACCTTGTGGAACACTCTCGTCACACCGGCAAGCGGTCGCTGGTGCTTTGTAGTGACACGGTCATAAGACTTGTCGTAGTACTCCAGACTGCCGCAGGTCTTCAAATCTTCAGCTGGCTCAACCTCGAAATGAAGCTTGGACAACTGTGCGAATTCGATTTCGTGTACACATCTCCATTCCGGGTGAATCTCCACACTTGCTTGACGAGGTTTCAGCTGCGTTTTCGGCTGATCGTTCCACCGTCGTCCATACCATTGCTTCTGCCATTTGCGCTGCAATCTCAAACGATCCCGGTCACGACCCTTCTGTACCTTTGACAATGTCTCCATCTTCCTTTCCTCGCGACGTTCTCTGTCTCTGCGAGCATTGTTGTTGCGCTGGAACCGGGTTCTGTTACGCAGGTATCCAGGACGCTGCGGGCGAGTAGTATCAACAAGCTGGAAGGACGATTCGTCCTCTTCATGAATATACTGGAACAGGGTAGCTCCGGAGGCGAATTGCGAGTTGTACCGGTTCATGTAACGACGATCCTGGTAAGCTGAGTCTGTCCAATTTGCAGCCTTTCCCAACTTATCTGCCTTGCTGTACTGCTGGTAGGGTACTTTGAAGCCCTCTGCAGGCTCGCAAGGTCCCCATCCTTTATCATTCGACTGAATCGCTGGGAGCTTGAAGGAGCTAGTAGCCATGATGAACCTTGATCAAACACCCATACACGGAGAAAATTATTGTAACCTCACTACAGGATCAAAAAGGAAAACAGATCCCACGAACAATTCTTCAGACGCTTCTTTGTTGAGCTACTTATCTTCCAAAGGTTGCAATCTTTTTCAGTTCAAACATGCACAAAATCATCCCAAGAACAGTTTTTTTCTCCGCGATGCATCCACCATTTTGCCACCAACAATAATTAATTTTTGTAGATCGAACATGATACATTCGACGTCATCACATGCCTGCGCATGCCCATCATCGAGATTCTGATATCACTATGACGTACAATGATTGTTATAATACTCATAAAAAGGACACACTTCAGATTATCATGCTCATTACAAACATCTTGAAAGTTTTTAGTGCTAGATTGCTGAATGTTTTGGAAGCCGTACATCCACACAAAGAAACCCAACCTTTGCAAGCAGAAACAAATTAAATTCACACTTAGGCTGTTAGGTAGGTCGTCAAAACCTCGTTAGTTACATGTATGTCCAGTGGTTGTCTCTTGTTGTCGCACTACATGTCACGCTTATTGAGTTTTCTCGCACTTGCACCTTTGTGTCATTATTGCAATTTTCGCTGTCACTTTAGCTATCTTCTTTTTTGCGCTGTTTTACCACCTTCTTACTGTATTTAATCCACTGTTCCTGTTCCTTTTCCCTTGCCTGTATTTCACCTGACGAGAAGGCTTGAAAGTGTACTTGTGAAGACAAAAACTTTCAAGATGTTTGTATTAAATGAGCCTGAAGTGTGTCCTTTTTATGAGTATTATTGCATTTTTGTCTCAGAGGAAACTGTTTACGTACAATGTTCCTCCCCATATTTCTGCATTGTTTACTATGAAATACCAAGAGTACAGTCATGATTATGTTATGTACTCTTGCTATTAGTAGTATTACTATGTTCACCATCGTACTGTATGGCTGGCGTTGAACTTGAATGAACCATAGCGGCACAGTACTCATGGTACTTGGCACAACAATAGTACAATGTCATGTATAATTGTAGTAGTATGCGCACTTGTATGCGACTCATGACCAGTCAGTAACCTTACCGGTATGTGTAGTCACTGTAGATTTGCACACCGGCACCATACTATAATAATAAATTTTTAATATTTTTAAATGATCAAGAGTACAGAACCCCCCCCCCCCCCCACGGGGGCCCCCAGGTTATCATGTACTCTTGATACTGTACATGTATTTTGTAGTAGAATAGATTTATCTCAAGTAGGGTTAAAGGGTGCAAAGGTGAATGCCTAGTGAAATACAACTTTGCATTGTATGATGCCGGGAGTAGTGCAGTGAACCAGGCAGTACTGTACTACCAAGAGTAGTACAATACTATAGAATACTATTACTGCTTGGTGTGGACCATAGTGATCTGGTGATCATTGTGATCAAAATGCCCTGCTACATTGAATTACCAGTAGCATGAGTATAGCCACTATCTGCCACACATAATAATCTTACATAAGCTGTAGCAAGAACAAAGTACACTGGCAGAGAACACTCATATCTTCTCTTATCTGGGCAGTCCAAGACCGGGCACTGGCCATGCATGTAACTGGGAAATGAACGTAACTCTGGATCGTGTACACTTCATAGGGAAGGGCCGGAGATATGGCGTATGCCGTCACCAATCCACAAAATTGACAAAACAGTAGTAATTGTTCCACTAACACTCTCCCACAGGGTGCCAGGTAGACCGAGGTGCCAGCAACTTTGATGTCCGGATAAGAGAGATATACAAGCGTATAACCAAATCCCATTCCCCGTTTGATATTAGACTAATATTTTGCTTGATGATCACGTAAGCGTCAAGGTCGGAATTACAAAATTCTGTTCCACCTTACTTGTAAGACTGAGAGATACGAGTGTATAGCCAATCCATACACAGTATACGGCTGGCATACTAGTAATGTCACACACCTAAACGCATATGCACTGCAAAGATCAGTTATTAGTAGGCTTCAATGCTTGTTTTCCTCGCAAATAAAAATGCAACCGTGACATACCAGTGACTCATCGCGTACAATGGAGAGGGGGGTGGGGGTTAGTATAGATAATAGTGGCAAGTGAAGTCTAACACATATATCACAACAAAAAAACAGTGCCGGAAATCTATCATTGAGACGCAGTGTGAACAGTGACCAAACACGGCAATCTATGCCAGTGTCAATTATCCATAGTGATATGTCCGTGGAGGAAAAAAAGAAGAGGCTCAGCAACAGCCAGTGTCCAGTGAAATTGGTGAGCACTGCTCTATGGCAGTGAGAGCGAAGCCTGGGTCTACGATAACACCGACCGACAACACACTAGGCGGTCGTGCACGGTGCACCCTGCATTCTGAGAAGGCCGAGCACTCAACCGCAGATACGCAAGAGAATAATAAAACAAATGGATACCAGCCCCTGTGGTTAAAACTAGTTCTTGGACAACAAAGTGATTGCAACAAACTACAACAGAACAATGCCTGCTGTCAGCCAATGGTGCACTGACAAAGCGATGCGTGGAATCCAGGAAGGTGGATTTCACTTTTTCACAAAGAGAGGGAGAGAGGAGGCAGAAAATAAGGATACCAGCGCGCCCTAGATGGAGAGTAAAAACAGACCGCGACGATTCCAGCTGGAGATAAGTCACCTACCTGATCATGATACGGTATCAATGAACGACGTTGCTGTGCGGGGCCGTGGCAGCTCGCCGAACAGCAAAGTGCTCTGGTCCTGCACACTCTGCGCTATTGCCTTGATGGAATTGCCAATGTCTTCAAAGGACGGGGTGAGGCCGTCATCGCGAACTGCTCCACCACTGGTAAAGCGTGCCGGTCGACCGGGCATTTGAACTGGTGCCGACTTGCCAAGAATCCACGTACCATCATTATCTGTGTGCTGTGGTATAGTAGATCTACTGGCAGCACCAGCCATGGCCAGTCCTACCTGAGAACCTTGGAAACTGTTGTCAGTACTCGGATCGTCATCTTCATCGTCATCGTCCGATAAGAACGCTGACCGATCACCGTGCGTCATCATGTCAAGGTCGTCCATACAGAACACACCAGTGTCGTGAGTAGCTGGCCGACTGAATGAGTGCTCGCCTGAATACACAGTGGACATATTCTCTGGCCTATCCGCACTCACGGTATATTTGGTCGACACCGCCTCAGTTTTGGATTCCCTGTGCTGCGTAGCTGGAATGCTGGACATAACGTTGTACAAGCTGCGCAGATCTTGTTGAGCCTTTTGCTTGATTCTTGTCAAGACCAGGTTCTGCTGGTCAATAAATGCCTGAATCCTTGCCTGAACTGATGCCTCCTCAGCCATCACGTAGGAGTCTAGAACTTGTTGGGCCTGAGCAACTGCAGATGGACCAAGGTTCTTCTGCAAGTGCACTACATCAGGGAAACTAGAGTCGAAATCTGGCGGAAGAACCACGCTAAAGACCTGGGAGAAACTCGATGATTGACGTAACTCACTGATTTTCGAGGGATCACTGAGCAATTCAGAATTGACTAACAATCTTCCAGGTTTGTGCTGATGTGAACAATGTGTCACCATTGCACAACCATGACATTTGAACACCTGCAGATCGCCATACAGGCGTTCACTAACTAAACTGCTTTGTTCCATCGATATTCCAGGTACGTCAAGATCCATTTCTTTGAGGCAGCAGCCGTTGAAGGGATCATCCTGATTCTCCTGCCTGAGAGATTCTAAATCAATGGTACGACCGAAAGTCGATTGCTGAACGCATATCGTAACATTGAGGCATTGGCATTTCAACTCCATATTTACCTAGTGACAGCACAACAATGCCGGAACAGCTAAAATATTACAAGCGGGCAGTTTTTGAAGCGGCAAGGTGCCTAATGCTTGTACCTGTCTGCCCCAGTCCTTGCATCGAAAGACGAACAATTCCTCCAAACTGATTTTGACGAACAAACGACTGTTGTCGTAGATCTGCCAACTCGAACAAGTCACCAGTCACAGATCGGAACTGTACTGGATCATGGAGTAGAGCCTTCAATCCACTCTTCACAGCATAGGCCGTGTCAGGCGAAGCGCCAGCACCCCAAATCAAGACTTTTTTATTTTCCGTGGCGGGAAATCGAGCTTTTCCAGGTATCTACAGCCTGTAGAAATTCAACGCTGAGAATTTCCAACTATTGTCCGGCTTTGGCCCTCTGCCACCGACCTATCCTTTGAAGGAGAATGCTGATACCAGTTGGCTGCTCTTCAGTAGTTCTTTCTCTATCGTACACATATTTTTGTATGTCGACACATGCTGTGTGCGACGACGTAGACACTTCTCAACACTTGAGTGACTTGAATTTGGCCATGATGACCGAATGTCATTGGACCGTGGAGTCGAGTAGAGGGCTCAGGCTCGATCGGCACAACGGGTACGTATAGCACAAGGGTAGGGCTAATGATATATCAAGTTGTTTGCTGTGCACAACCTTGGGGCGGAATTCGGCACGAAATTCTCTGCTCGCCAACTGTTGAGTATACCATGCAAACTCATGTTGCAGTGCTATCACGGTTGCAACCCTCTTTCAAATGTTGACATAGCCAACAACCACATAATCCAGATCAAATCTTGCCCCTTGTTTTCTTTCTAAGTGTGAAAAATAGAAATAATACCAGTCCTAATCATTGGAAAATGCAAATCACGGTCTATTATCGACACATCGTACTGTCGCGGACATGGAAATCCAGTCGATTGACCGGGGCCGGCACCCTCAGCACGTACAGAACGTTGCATGCAGTGCACATGTTGATCCAATGCGACCATCAGCAGCGCATGATAAACCGTGCTACGGCTGCATGGCCAGCGCCCTGGGGCCGCTATACGTGCGACCGGATTTCCATGTCCACGACAGTAGTACCATGCAGCCTGGTAGTGCATTTGGAGCAGGAAAGTGAATGGTAGCACTGCGGTGGTGAACACATGAGCTGATGATAACCATCGTCGTCTTGTTGGTTTGTGTTGTCTCCAGTTCATTGCAGGTTGAACGAGGAATGAACGTCTACTCTTTCTTTCCAAAACTGGCTGGGCGCACGCCAATGAGACGGAAGCTAGTGCCAAACCAGTCCTTGGAAGTTTTGTTGTGCTGCTGGACTTTCAATCATCATGTAAAGTATATTCCGGTTTCTGAGTCTTCGTGTGCGCCTGAAGAGCTACACTGTGTAGAGATGTTGGAAGTTTATCCTGCTCACGACACTGCACCAAGTACAAGCACTTCCTCGGCACTGCCTGAGCCCTGTTCTGTGTTTACTGTGACCAGGAGAAGCAACTAGAAATTTGGAGCTTGAGCTGGAACGCTGGTGCTCTCTCTCTCTCTCTCTCTCTCTCTCTCTCTCTCTCTCTCTCTCTCTCTCTCTCTCTCTCTCTCTCCGTCACGTTCTGCCACTGTCCGAAACCGGTGCATGTGCTAGCATGTTGAAGCGCATTGTGTCTGAGTCAATCACTCACTCTCCTGCTCCTCCCTCATATGCCCAAGACAGTATGACCAACTGTGAATACAGTTCGCGCCCACATGTGAACTTGTGTGGTTCTCTTGTAGTAAGCTGCCACGTGTGTACTTGCACGTGTTGTGTACATGTGTGTGTGTGTGTGTGCGTGTGTATCTATGGGACTGCGTTCTCCTATTCTCTCTCCGGTGCCTTCGAGGCCCACGCAACCCTTGTGGCAGTGGCTCGACAGCACAGGGCAGGAGTGTACACGCGTGCATGTGTATATGTGGGTGTGTGTGCGCGCGCGCGCGCGTGTGCATGCGCATGTGGGTGTGCGCGCGTGCATGCAGATGTGTGTGTGGGTGTGTGCGCACGCTGATGCTCAGCTCTCCAGAATGATGTCCGTGTGCGTAGCCAGTGTATGGTGGCAACATAGCCTTCCTTCATGTATATGTGTATGCGCATACTATTTGGGATGCTTTACTGTTTTTGGTGGGATCCAGTTACATAGTTTTCTGTTCAATTATTTATGTTTATACAGCTGCTGTATGCATGTATTTGTAGTGCAACTTTCTGTCTTTCTGCTGGTCAATTTGTCGTCTTGGTGGTGTTCTAATACTGATATACATAGAAAATATTACCCTCAGAAAGTGTGCTCGTTGTGAAGTTGTCCTTCTTTGGGCTCAAACCATTGCTCGTGTATAGGTAGATACATATCAGTGGGTTCGATTGGTGGCGAGAGGTCAGCCTAAATTGTTTGGGGCGGAATTCGGCACGAAATCCACGCTGAGTACTTTTTGACGACGAGTTGCGTCGGTCTTGAAAACTCTGGCGAGAAAGCGAGGAAAATGATGTCGCTTGGAGCTTTCCGCGAAACTTAGGGCAGCTAATGCCCGCACCTTCCCAAACATTGCCTCGGAACAAGACGATACCACCAGGGAAGCTCTTGTGAGCAAGGGATAAAATAGTCTCTTTTTGGCGATATTGAGCTGAGTTTCAAATTTCCCGGGCCTGGGGTCGGATTTGGAAAATAAAAGTGCAACTTTTAGGGCTCTTTTTCGGTGCTGGCGCTTCGCCTGGTGTATAGCGCTCTTTGACCGGATCACACACTTGAAGCTTGGCTACGTCAAAATCTCGTGGGTCGAGCGCGCGCGCGCGCGCCGCGCGGTACGCGGGTGCCAGGTATACGTCGTTGACTCGTTGACCTACATGTACGCTCGTAGCTACGTCGATGATCGATGCATGGTGAATCGCATGTGTGCGAGATGCGCGTGCAGACTGCAGAGCTACTGATCTGACCTTATAGCAGTACGACTCGAGTGCCCGCGCGCGTGAGCCGTTCCGGAGTCTACAAAAAGTAGTCCGGACTCCTTCGTCAGGATTTTTTGCACCTCTGACACCATGGACACTGGCCCTGGCCTGGCCTGCTGCAGTGCTGCTGGACCAGGGCCTACAAATAGGGAGTCAACTCCCTGGGCCATGGGGCGGGGTGGACCATGGACTGGTCGACGGTCTAGACCAGGGAGTAGTACAATACCATATTATTGGTATTGTACTACTCCCTGGTCTAGACGACAAATGCATGTTACTTCATTATTTTTTGTACTCCAAGAGTGTGCACCTGTTACATAGTAGTAGTAGTAGCAAGAGTACATAACCAGGGTTATGTACTCTTGGTAGTAGTAGTAGTAGTAGTAGTTCAAAGTTTTATATTTCAATTGAGTGTTCTATTTTATTCCGAAATTGGGTTGTCTTTTTGCTTTGACTCTTACTTCATGGTGTTGTGAATAAAACCGTTCTCAAGTAGTACAATGTAGTAGTACAGTCGTCCCTCTCTAATCCGGCACTTTATAATCCAGTACCCTCGATAAACCAGCACAATTTTCAGTAGCCAAATGTCCTCTTCATGCACATTGCAGCAGTGGATCAGATTTGTTAATCCAGCACCCTCCCTAATCCAGCAGATTTCCGTGGCACAAATGGTGCCGGATTATAAAGGGACCACTGTAGTAGTAGTAGTAGTAGTAGTAGTAGTAGTAGTAGTAGTAGTAGTAGTAGTAGTAGTAGTAGTAGTAGTAGTAGTAGTAGTAGTAGTAGTAGTAGTAGTAGTAGTAGTAGTAGTAGTAGTAGTAGTAGTAGTAGTAGTAGTAGTAGTAGTAGTAGTAGTAGTAGTAGTAGTAGTAGTAGTAGTAGTAGTAGTAGTAGTAGTAGTAGTAGTAGTAGTAGTAGTAGTAGTAGTAGTAGTAGTAGTAGTAGTAGTAGTAGTAGTAGTAGTAGTAGTAGTAGTAGTAGTAGTAGTAGTAGTAGTAGTAGTAGTAGTAGTAGTAGTAGTAGTAGTAGTAGTAGTAGTAGTAGTAGTAGTAGTAGTAGTAGTAGTAGTAGTAGTAGTAGTAGTAGTAGTAGTAGTAGTAGTAGTAGTAGTAGTAGTAGTAGTAGTAGTAGTAGTAGTAGTAGTAGTAGTAGTAGTAGTAGTAGTAGTAGTAGTAGTAGTAGTAGTAGTAGTAGTAGTAGTAGTAGTAGTAGTAGTAGTAGTAGTAGTAGTAGTAGTAGTAGTAGTAGTAGTAGTAGTAGTAGTAGTAGTAGTAGTAGTAGTAGTAGTAGTAGTAGTAGTAGTAGTAGTAGTAGTAGTAGTAGTAGTAGTAGTAGTAGTAGTAGTAGTAGTAGTAGTAGTAGTAGTAGTAGTAGTAGTAGTAGTAGTAGTAGTAGTAGTAGTAGTAGTAGTAGTAGTAGTAGTAGTAGTAGTAGTAGTAGTAGTAGTAGTAGTAGTAGTAGTAGTAGTAGTAGTAGTAGTAGTAGTAGTAGTAGTAGTAGTAGTAGTAGTAGTAGTAGTAGTAGTAGTAGTAGTAGTAGTAGTAGTAGTAGTAGTAGTAGTAGTAGTAGTAGTAGTAGTAGTAGTAGTAGTAGTAGTAGTAGTAGTAGTAGTAGTAGTAGTAGTAGTAGTAGTAGTAGTAGTAGTAGTAGTAGTAGTAGTAGTAGTAGTAGTAGTAGTAGTAGTAGTAGTAGTAGTAGTAGTAGTAGTAGTAGTAGTAGTAGTAGTAGTAGTAGTAGTAGTAGTAGTAGTAGTAGTAGTAGTAGTAGTAGTAGTAGTAGTAGTAGTAGTAGTAGTAGTAGTAGTAGTAGTAGTAGTAGTAGTAGTAGTAGTAGTAGTAGTAGTAGTAGTAGTAGTAGTAGTAGTAGTAGTAGTAGTAGTAGTAGTAGTAGTAGTAGTAGTAGTAGTAGTAGTAGTAGTAGTAGTAGTAGTAGTAGTAGTAGTAGTAGTAGTAGTAGTAGTAGTAGTAGTAGTAGTAGTAGTAGTAGTAGTAGTAGTAGTAGTAGTAGTAGTAGTAGTAGTAGTAGTAGTAGTAGTAGTAGTAGTAGTAGTAGTAGTAGTAGTAGTAGTAGTAGTAGTAGTAGTAGTAGTAGTAGTAGTAGTAGTAGTAGTAGTAGTAGTAGTAGTAGTAGTAGTAGTAGTAGTAGTAGTAGTAGTAGTAGTAGTAGTAGTAGTAGTAGTAGTAGTAGTAGTAGTAGTAGTAGTAGTAGTAGTAGTAGTAGTAGTAGTAGTAGTAGTAGTAGTAGTAGTAGTAGTA